TTAAAAGACTTTTCCAATTCCTTTTCTTCCAAACAAGATTTTAGCATAGCACTTTTAACGATGAACTGAAATAAAGAAATATGTCAATAGATTTATAACAATTTTTACTTATAAAAGAGAATCTTAACTAGGACTACAATATACAAGCTTCGAAATGTAAAGATCTGCAGAAATAGTTGGGATAATTTCTATAGTCGTAGAAATTTCATATGTCACGTGACTGCTGATGGCAGAGTTACAAGCAAGGAAAAGACCGATTCATATAGTGACTGTCTTTTCGAAGACCTCTGAAGGGCAAAGGACAAAAGCGTTCGACATACTGTAGAATCCATATGACATCAACTATGCCAACTATATATAAAAGAAAGTGACGAACACGGAGAAAACCGAAGTAATATTTCCTCCACTTCAAAAAATTTCGAAGAACTCAAACCCCCCACTAATCCCTGACCCCCACCAACGTTTCCCCGTCTGATAACTTTGCTTTTGATGCTTGCTGTAAAACCACTTATTTTAGAGGGAACAAATTTTCAAAGTTTGAGGAAAACATGTTGGTGTCAGCCACGTAACATCGTTTTTGAAAGGGGGCACCCAAAGAAACTTCTTGTCAAGAACCACTGAGCAAAAAAATCTGAAACTTATGTGGAAGCATCCTTGGGTAGTGTAAATACTAAATTGTTAAAATCATGACCCCCGGGAGATGGGCGGGGCCACAATAGGGAATCGAATTTTTACTTAGAAATATATAGGAAAAGCTTTTAAAATCTTCTTCTCAAGAACCACTGAGCAAGAAAATCTTAAACTTATGTGGAAGCATCCTTGGGTAGTGTACATGTAAATACTAAACTGTTTAAATCATGACCCCCGGGGGATGGGCGGGGCCACAATAGGTAATCCAATTTTTTAACTTAGAAATATACAGGAAAAAACTTTTAAATTCTTCTCGTCCATAACCACTGGGCCAGAAAAGCTGAAACTTAATTGCAAGCTTCCTGTAGATTCTAAATTGTAAAAATTGTGACATGCGGGGGGGGGGGGGGGGGGGGTACGGCGAGGCCACAATAGGTATTACAAGGAAGAAATCTGGTAAAGAACGGCATTACCAATTAAGTTACTCAGATGAGCGATGTGGCCCATGGGCCTCTTGTTAAAAATAAACAATATGAATAAAAATCGTCATGAAATCACTGTACATGAAAGATTCTTAATGGTAAACGATGCACAATTTAGAAGCTTATTATTTTATGCATGCAGTGAGCAATTTTCTACTTTCAGCTTGAAGCAAAGTTTGAAATCATTTCATATTGAACAAACATTTATAAGACAGAACGAAAATCAATTGCGAAAATCTGTCAACTTACCAAAGTAAGTACGATTAGAAGAGTGTTCACTGACTTCATCTTCAGCCGTCAAAGACGTCACAAGACCCGAGAAAATGGTGTCCCTGGGATTTTCTATCGAAGTGCAGCAGCATCGTAACATTTTATATAATCCAAACTACAGGATTACGAAGAAATCACAAAATAATTCGAAATAATGGCATAAAAATGTCTTTGAATTTGAAGTTGTACTCGATCCCTTGAAACGTATATGGATAAATTCATGAACTCCTACGGATGAACATATGTTTCCATGACGTTGTGCAAAAAATCCTGCATATTTATCATCGAGAAAAATAAATTTCAAGTTCTGCTGCAGAGAGTTTATAATCCTAAGACCTACATCATGCGTCTATCTTGATTTAATATTGAATATACATGTACAATGTGTAACACTTAACAATCCTTCAAATGTCTATAATAATTTTGAGTTTTATATCAGATCAAATTTCAAAAACCCAAATTGATTTCGGATATTTAGTTCAAAGCCCTAAATTTTCAAATTTCCAAACAGGTTTTGAAATTTTGATTTTTAAAATATTCAAAATTCAAATTTCCTGAAACGGTTTTGGTTAATGTTGAGTCTTAAATTCAAAGCAATTTTCCGCATTTTGATATTTTGAAATTAGCTTAATTCATACTTCTAAATTTCAACTTTCAAAACGTTTTAGATTTTTTTTTTTAGAACTTTGATTTAATAACTCAATCACCAAATTTCAGGCATATTTATCATAAAAATAACACAGATATTTAAATGTGACATTTTCCGAAAAAAAAATGTTCTGTCCTATAGGTCATGTAATATTTTTTGTTAATCTTTATTCGACTTTTCAATTTTAGACAGTGTTGATAGTCAAAGAAACAAAGATGGTATCGACAAAACCATTTTTCATGACTTAATTCCTCCAGCTTTAATATTGTGTTCAAGATGTTCACAATTATTTTGCACATCGTAAGCATTTTCTCTCTTATCATATTTCTCATCGCACTATTTCATAAACATTGATTCAAAATCTATTTACCACGCAATGTGATGTAGCGCGGCCTTTCTTACAGATTTTTTTTTTTTAATTGAATGAAATTGTCCATGAATTTTTTTCATTATCAGGCACTTCGATATCAGCTGACAAAATCTCTAAACACTGGATGAAAAAGACCGTCTTTTATTTTAAATTTATGGGAATGAATATTGCAGACTTTTCCTTTGAATCTGTGATTTTTGTAAGGGTGCGTTTCGTAAAGAAAGTCGACTATTTCTTTGCATATGGATTCTTATAACTATATATCAACCTCTTCTTCCGTGTGTGGGAGTGCGGGGGAGACAGAACTATTACATCATTGATAGATTTTGATTTGAATTTGACCTAAATGAACTTAACTGGTGCAGTAAGTACTTGTCGTAAGCTAGTACAGTGTACATACATGTACTTTAACTATGGCTACATGGTGTCTGTATCTTTTAACAATTTTAATTAATTTAAAAATTATTTCAAAATTTAAGAGACTACTTTAAAAAAAATTTAAAACCTTGAGTTGTGTCGCAGGCGGGCCGATTGGTCGCCACACAAAAGGAATACAAGCTGACAAGGACTAAGTTCTTTAAATTCATCACATTTATTTGGTTTAATACATAATAAAAAGTTCTGGACTGGTATGCTGTTTGGATGGAATGGCTTCCTGGACCAATTTGCGATATCAGAAGAGATTTGTCAAGTCTAGTCAAATATACTATATCTTTATAAAGAATACACTGAAATACTCGAGAAAGTGAAGTACGTCTGCTCTACTCAATTGCTACACCCAAACTGACCACATAACAGCACGGGATTTAAAACCCGCCAAGTAAATTCTACTGAACAGATAAAATATTACGGAACACAGTTATGGCAATTAAGTAGGTTATTTACATAGCGAGAAATGTATGTTAAAATACATGGAACAATGTTTGGACGTTAATTGTGACAAGTTGAAATAAATAAACAAAACAAGATGTGATTGTGCAACACTGATTCTCGAGTATGGCAGCTCATTGTTTCTCAAATGCAAGTCAAACAACAGGCACCTGGGGAATGAATGGTGCTACCTCCCCTCCCCCCCCTTATAATAGACAGGATTTTGGATAAATTATCATGCCTAATAAAAATACTTTAAAGGGGGGCACCATCCATTTGTAATGTGCCTGTGGTCAAAATCTAAGGCAAAGGTAAAAACATAAAAAATAACCACACCAAATTGCAAAGAAAAGCTAAGAAAGGTCTTTTCACTAGAAAAACATCCGTGCGTGAGATAAGAAAGTTGTAGCAAAAACCTTTCAATAAGTATGACCGATGTTTATTTTTTTCAAAAGTAGGTCAACCACTAAATGCAATGTCAAAGGTCAAAACTAATATTGCCCAAGAGGAGGTCTTGTCAAAATTGCAAAGAATACACATTTGATTTGAGAGCCCTAAAATCAAGTGTTCGGAAGACTTGGTCAAAATTAGGTTTTTTTTCAAAAAGTATTCCAAACTTTAAGGGTCAAAATTGTAAGGAAGGAATTGTCACAAGAAATACGCATGTTATATAAGCCATTCAAAATTTATGGCCAAGGTTTAAGTTTTTCTCAAGTATGCCAAACTCCAAGGTCAAAGTGTCAAAATTGACGGTACCCAAGGGATAGGCTTGTCAAAAAATATAGAGGCTCTGGTTAAAAGAAATGTAGGCCAAACTCCTATGTCAAGGTCAAAACATAAAAATACATGTATCTGAACTCAATGAAAAGTCTTTTCACAAGAAATATACGTGTGAATTATGGAAAACCTATAGCATCAACCATTCAAAAGTTATGGTTAAAGATTATTTAAAAAAATACAGTATTGAAAATGTTGGTCAAACTGTAAAGTCAAGGTCAAGATGTCAAATATATTGGTACACAAAGAAAGGTTTTGTCACAAGAAAAAAAAAATCTTTTAAAGTATGAAAACCATAGCCGAAACCAATCCATATTTTTGCGGACAAACAGGCAAACAACTTGAACAGACACTCACAAACAGACGGACGGAAAGGGCAAACACTACATACTTAACGATAGCATTTTTTAAACCGATACAAGCTAACTAGTGACAGATAACCAGATAGCTAGTTTCAACAAGTTAAACCTCGTTTAAAGTCAGCTTTTCGTAAATTCTATCATTCCTTGGGTCTTATTATAACGGAAAACTTTATTCTGATATATTAGGTGGCTTTGGTTTTGTACTTATTTTACTACAGAATGTTCTGTTTTCCTATAAATCAAATACACAGGCTTAACTGCGGGTGTAACCGACAGGGGAAGTTTACTCCTCTTAGGCACCTGATCCTTCCTCATTGTTTGTTTGTTTGTTTTAAATCAATCATCGTTATCTTTTTATTCATAAAAATATCAGCTTTTTAAAAACATAAATAAAAACTGCTCGGATTTGTATGATGGTATTGACGCAAAGTAGCTTTTAATGTTTATGTCCCTGCTTCTAGGTATTTGTTATTTTTCTTCATTCAATATGTCAAAGCGCAGAGGCCCGTGGAGTCTACTTTTATATCGTCCATACCCTCTTATGGTACGACTTATCTAGAATGCTCTCTAATGTTTGGAAACAAGGAAAGGCGCAAAAGCGGGAGATATGGGTTATGAAATCGAGAAATATTTCAGGGAATAACTGTTTTACTAAAAATAATTGACAGTTCTTTTTAAGAATGGATTCAAGAACAAAGTCTATCCAAGATATACTGGGTCTCATGCAGAAAAATTTAGAATGTTCCATTTGGTAAGAATTAAGCTATTTACAGCTCAAAGGTTGAAACGTAATTCTTTATAAAAAAAATTCTGAATTACCTCCTAAGTCTTAAGTAAGCAGCTACGCAAAGAAGCTTGATTTTGCTTTCTAAAAGAAAATTTTTCAGCAGATTGTGTATATTTAAAATACACAAATTTACGAACATGTCTGCATGTGACAAGATCAACAAATATTTGAACTACATGTGTATATAGTCATGATCAGGTCCAGTATAATCACTAGATTTAGTTACGTAGGTAGAATTACCTACGTAGCTTTATTTACCTACCTCAGATAGCTTTATTTAGCTATTTCAATGCAACTTTTCAGTTTTTCTTTTTATGAAAAAGAGACAAAGTCGCAATTCAATGACTATTAATATTTATACTAGGGAGGTTTTAAAAAAACAACCCAAAGAGAGATAGTTTATACATTGCAGCATTTGGACAATTTAGAGCAAAACATGTAATTCCATTGTTTGGATAACTGTCCTTTCTATTGTGTGCGGTGAGGCATGGCTGAGTATGATCACTTCACATTGTGCTGAATAATTACCGACCTATTATTATGTCAACCAGAACTGGACTTCTTTGTCATTACATTCCAGGAGTAACTGTTCTAACTGTCATACATAGCCCCAAAACTTTCAGAACTTTGATTGCAATTGCGCAGAAAAAGACATTTCTTCAAGAGTGATTTTTTCATGAATTGTTTTCAGATGAGTTCAAAGTTGAAAATGATCACTGCATCAAATTGGGATTTTTTGCACATCCCGAGAAAAATAATTTTTATAGATATAACAGGGATCGACACTAACTTTAAAACCATAGTTGTCAGCTGGGCTAGCCATTTCTAATTTCTACTAGCCCTGCTCATGTATTAGCTGTCCAACAACCGAAGGCTGGTGGCCGAGTCGCGAAGCGACGAGGGGGGGTAGGTGCGGGAGGGGGTTTCCCCTCCTGCTGGTGGGGGTACAGGAGGACTCCCCCGGGAAATTTTGAAAATAGAGATGCAAAATCCTGCATTCTGGCTGTATTTTGGGTAAAAATTATATGTCACTCTATGATTGTACCTAAGACATTTTTTCTATTCGAAAAATTCCAGATTTATAATCATTTAGGGTATTTTTGAATCACCTTTAAAGTTTACATTTTTACATTTTGATGATAAAACATTTTGAAAATAAATTTAACAATTATCAGGTATATATGCTGTGTGTAAATTATATTTAAATTATTTTCTTGATCTTAGTAAGTAATTGGTAAAATTTACTGTAGCCCTGCAGGGCTAGTTTAAAGACATGTTTGGTAGCCCGACCTCAGTATTCATTTGTCCCGGGCCAGCGGGCTAGCCCTGTATAACCCTGTATCAATTGATCTGGTAGCTAAATAAAGCTACTTCAGGTAGATAAATATAACTAAATCAAGCTAAGTAGGTAAATCAAGCTAAGTAGGTAAATCTAGTGATTGTACTAGACCTGATGATAGTGCTGATAATTTGAGGAAAGGTTGGAGCACTTAAAATCTAACACTTTTCGTCCAGCTGTGCCAGTCTATGCGAAAGTCACCGGACCGTCGGTTTTTACCGGTAAAATTTAGGTCGGGTCGGTAAAAAATTTCAGTATACAGGACCAAATGTCCGGTAAAAAATAAGGCCAAAAAAATCTAAATTATGAGGTACACATGGTCCAGTTCCCCACAAACATCCTTTATTTGACCAATTCAGCAGTAATACCTGATTAATTTTTATGTATTACAACCCTGTCATGATCGTTTTTATTCTAATTCGAATTTCCTCTGTCAGTGGTTAGAGATCTTTTGATAGCTCATACGTAGATTTAGTTGGGAAAATATTTAGATAGCTCATACGTAGATTCGGTTGGGATTTTTTTTTCAAATGATCATTGGACTTGAGTAACCATAATGATTTGTTTCAGGAAAAATAAATATGCATTGAAAGTGCAAATTAAATTTAAGAAAATATTTGATACAGTGTATGTTGTACAAGACAAATATGAAGGAAAAAATGCATGCAATTGTATAAATAGATACTTATAACAAAGGCAAACTATAAATAAAGTAAATTTGTCCATTTCACTCTGAATTTAATTAAGGAGAGAATTAACCCCATCCCACTTACCCTCTCAATCTGTGTCATCATGATCATAATGATGTATAGATTTTAAGGGAAAAAGTCGGTCTGGTAAGAAATTGTTTGGTCTGGTAAAAAATTTATTTTTACCAGACATTTGGTCCTGTAAAAATTTTTAACTTTCGCGTAGACTGCTGTGCATGAATTTATTGTCAAATCAGTAGATAATTTATGTTTTGTTGAGTAGTACAGTTGAAACTCATTATCTTGAACTGAATGGGACTGAATATCACAGGTAAAATCACTTGGGACTTCAGAGTCACTTTGACACAGTAATTTTTTGCCTCTCATTGGGAAAAGGTCCGATACCGTTCAATTGGGAAAAATAACATCGAAGAAGAACAACGAGAATTTTGTCTCATTTAATGAAATAAAACGTATTTTGCGCTTATTCCATCTTAATCACCTATAACTACGTATTTTAAAGAATAAGGAGGAAATACTTATTGATTCTTTTATCAGTGTCCCGTGTTTTCACATTTTCATGCTTTCATTTTGTCAAAATGTATGACACTACACTGTTTATACCACAGGTCCCGCCAAATTACCACTTTCTCTACTTTCGATTTAAGCGGAAGTGAAACAATTAGTCAACTTGTACAATGTTTCATTTAAAAAGAAATACGATGTCGTCGTAGTCTGTTGCTTCACAGTTGAATTGGGAATTTTTGGTTATAAAATTGGGAAATAGTAATGTTTCTGGCATTGGGAATGGTGCCGTTTTTCGGTACCAGTTATATGAGGAAAAAAACGCTGCGACGTATCTATGGTATTTGAGATATCAGTGTTCAAGATACATGTACCAAAGTTCAGCTGTAACTAGTTTTAGTACTCACCAGAGTACTAGACTACAGCACTGTACAGAACACACATTTATGAAGCTAACATTATTTATTCTAATTTTCAGCTTAGATTTGCTGACAAACCCAGTATCCACAAAGTGTGATCATCCATTTTGCAGGTAAATAAGTGTGATTTGCAATAAGCCCACTGACAAGATACTCTTTTTTCTGATCTAAACCATACCTTAGTTTAGTGCTCAGGGCTGTTTAGATATATATTTATTAGTTGTTAATGTTGTTTATAACTTTTGAATTTGATGCATACATTCTGTGTTTATTTGCAAGGAAAAAACTTGTGCAAATCAATATTGAAGTTAACATTGAAATACATGTATATCACTGGTTATATATTGTAGGTTTTGCATCACTGAATTCCTGAAGACAAAAACCTCCGTGCCTTGTCCACTTTGTAAATGCCCAATCACAAAACGGTTTGTCTACTTGAAACTATTGTATTTATTTGTTCACTGCTGATTTTACCTCATATGATGCCATATTTTGTTATACAGTCACATGTTTCTTTTTTTCTGTTTGTTTTTTTTTTGTTGTTGTTTTGATTTGGATTTACTAGAATTAAATGTAGGATTAATTCAGTCAGTAATGATATTGCATGGCCTTTGTTTCATTTTTGTAGAAGCCTAAATGATCGTCCCCAGCTGTCAAACATTGTGGAAAATGTCCGCCGGTTAATGGGGGCTTTCTCAAAAGACACTGGACAGAAATGTAGGTTGTGAACGTTATCTCTTATAGAGGGATGTTGTAGTAGTGTTGTAAAATCGGACAAATTTTACTATCGATTATCAAATTGAATCGGAAGAACACAATCGATTATATAATCAATATTTTGAATTATTAAAAAAGGTTAAATTTATTCATCCTGAGAAGTATTTTAAATAGTCATAAATAAAAACAATGTTAAACTCAATAAACTGATTTATTCATTTATTGAATACACATTTTCTGACTTGCATACATATACATGTACAATGTAATTTAGTCACACCAATTAATACATGTCCATGTTCATTTTTAAGAAAATGAGATTCGTTGTATTTCCTAAACAAATTAAAACTAAACCTATGAATTTGAATGTTCATTAAAATTTTGACAGCACGAGTAGAATTCCATGACATGTGACCGCGAACTTCAACTAACAATTGGCATACGACTTTTTACACAATTTACAAATAACCGTGTCCATCTGTAAATTATTTTTGCATGGAGGCCCATCGCCCTTTTTCCAAAAGCTAAAAAAATCCAAACTTTAGATTGTGTTTCACCAGGATATGGATATAATATGGCGTCAACCTCTTCACCATGCACGTTCGCCATTTTGTTTACCGTCGATTAGAGTGATGTCCCTTTGGTGAATAGAAAAGTAATCCTGCTCCGCTTGAAAAATATAGCGATCTATCGATGATAATATTTACAATCGATTGTCGCCGATCTGGGCCTTTAAACGACGATTTTTCAATAGTCGGCGACTATCGTAACAACACTATGTTGTAGACAATTCATATATAAAATTCATATACAAAACACTGTTTTCTGGATTTTAAATATTTTGGTAATTAAGATGAATGGTCAGTTCAATGAATTTTGAAACATACTGGCCATTTCTAGTCTGTCGTAAGATAATAATCACTTAAAATAATTTACTGAATCAAATTTAACTGATCAGTACATGCATGGAGCATCCACTTAAAAAAATTATTAATCTTGTGATCTTTGATACAGTAGTATAAAATTTGTATTCACACTTTTCTTAAGTTTGGATATTTTGTTGTTTTGTGCTAGGACTTTTAAAACAAGACATGCTCTAGTCTATGTAAATTTTAGATTACAGCGTATTATTTTATTTTTGTCAGGTTCCCCTCCCCGGGCCTCCTCCTCTGCCAATCTCCTGTCCTGTACCCCTGAGCAGCTGCCTCGCAAAGAGGCCAAGGGGACAAAAAGAAAAATCTCTGTTAGTGAAAAAAAGGTAAAAGCTTAAATAGTCTTATGATTTGATTTGTAAAATATGCTTGTAGACATGATAAATTGTACACTGATTAAATGATTGCTTCACAAATTTAATGATTCCAAACAGGGAACATCTGGGAAAAGTAATGTTCGGCAAAGCAAGAGGCGGAAATCGGACCTAACCTCAGAGGTCATGGAATCTACTCAAGATAACACAGAGACTGATGTTATAGATGAAACAAATAATGGTGTAGAAACAGACCAACATGTTGTTAATACAGCTTTAGACCACAGAATTAACAAAGAGAAAGAAAATCAAGAGGAATCAAAAAGTGATCTGATTCTGTCCTGTCTTAGATCTGGTGCTGGTGGAACTTTGTCAGAAAAAGGCGATCCATCATGCACCAACCCCAAAGCTCTAACTAAAGGTAACACAAAACCAGGGAATATGAATTTGAAAGGAAGAACTAAAAGTACTTCACATTTGTCAGGACCAGAGAAAGATGAAGAAATGGGTTTGTCTGGAAAAGCCAACCCCAAAGAATTAACTAAACAAAAGAAAGAGGTAGGAGATACAAATCTGAAATCAAGAGAAAAAAGAACTAGAAGTACTTCACTGGTGTCAGGACCAGAAGGAGAAAAAATGGCCAGAACAGCAGGAAACCTGAATTCTGAAAGACATCTCAGACACCAAAATAAAAAGAATTATAAAGAGGACAGTGATGAAATTGAATTTAGTGATGATGAACAAGTTCAAGGTCATTCTGAAAGTCAAGGTCATTCTGAACTTAGCTCCTTGCCAGAGAGTACGCCCCATGTTGCGACAGTGACTCGAACCTATGACAAACAGTTTGTCAGTCATAGAAATGTCAGGAGTGTATCCAAAGTGAAGGACTGGCTCACCAGTAATGATGTACATGGGAAAGTTCAAGGTGATTCGCAAGGTAAATATCATTAATATGTTTGTTTGGGGTTTTTTTATGACAGAGCACAGATTTGTAAATTGTCAGAAGTCAATGAGAGTTCAAAAATGCTATAATTTTAAGAAAAGGTGAAATTATGTATGTAAGATGTATGTGTAATATGTCCATGAACATAAGAAATGTATGTAACTGCTGAAATTTTGTATGTCTAAAGTACAAGCCCTTAAACATAAATAATGCATTTATTTTTTTTCTTTTTCTTTTTTATATTAGTTATGAAAGATATATACCAATTTTCTCATTTTACATTGCTTCATAATTATATGCACATTACACTTGTTTTTAAAAAAGAGGTTCAAATTATGAGTATACAATTGCAACTTTTATTTTATGTAGATAAAATTAATTTTCATAGAATGATATTGTTAATCACTTATTAATGTACATGTACATACATTATGTAACAGCTGGAAGTAAATTAATAGCCTTCATTGCTCCCTCACATTCTGTTTTTATTTTCAAGAGTCAGATAAAGTCCTACATGGAGGCAGCTTGGAACAGTCAAGTAATTCTGGAGATAATGGTGAGAATTTCATAGAGGACGAAGAAGAATTTGAGCTAGTGTCTTGTGATTCCAGTATACCAGAATCAGTTGTGGATAAGGAACATGCGGACACAAGTGACAAAAATCAGGGACATAGTGAAACTGCCTCAACTTCTCTCCCTCTCTGTTCAGATAACCTTCCTCCCACAAGCAAATCACAAACAGAAAAGGGGGGACAAGTGGCACACAAAATCTTCAAGACAACGAGAAACGATAAACATTTGGAAACTTCAGTTAAACAAACCAAAGGAAAATTTCTCTTCAAAAAAATTCAACCCAAGTCGGTATCGGGGATTGATCAAGGTATGGGAGTGAAGCCGCTCAAACCTAAAGATAGAGCTGTGATCACTCAGAAGGAGAGTTTGAAATTAAGGGAGCTGGATCTTAATACCTTTGGTAACGACTCGGATCCGTATGAGTTCAAGTCAAGCCAGGTCACTCCAGTCAAGCCAAAAGTCCAGAGGAGAAAGGCAAAGGCGAGAGATGACAAGAGAAAGGAAGGTCAGATCAGTGTAGAAGTTCAGAACATGTTGAGCAGGAAAAGTGGAAAATCTATTCTGAAAAAGGCAAATGGTGATGGCATGAAAGAGGGGATATGTGGAAGAGGAGGGGAGGAAGTTGCTGAAGAGAAGAAGAAGAAACTGTCACCAAAAGCTTTACAGAGGCAGAAAGATGAAGAAGAGGCTCTGAAGGAAATGAGAGACAAAATCAGTCAAGCGGAAAGTTATGACCTCATGACCTCTACACAGGAAGTGATTGATCACCTGACAGAGGAAGAAAATGGTGCAGAGGAAGAGCATGATGGTGTCTCAAAAAATAAAAAGATTGTTTCGTTTAATCAGGATGTGATCTTCATTAGTTCTCAGAATCAGAGAGTTAAAAGCCTGAAAGGGATGAGTGAATCTCCAAAGAATAGAAAGACTCGATCAAACAAGATAGAAAAGAATTTTACTGAAGAAGCAGGTGTAAGAACTTGTAAAAATGGAGGAGGGAACCAGGAAACTGAAAAAGTATTTAAGGAGGACTGTGAAACTGGTGTTCATCATAATGAAGAAAAGATGGAAGCACTGGGCATGTCTCAAAACTTGATTGATGAAATTTCTGAAAATGTTTTGTCATCAAAAGAAAATAAAGGTAAAAGATGCATAATACTCGTATTCTCACTTCAGAGCATACATTTATAATATATGTATTGTCTTTCCAGATATAAAATTGGTTTACAATTAGTTATAAGCTGTATTAAAATTTTGTAGTTATAAATTATATATTTTAAAGGCCCTATTTTAAATTATATGTTTCTTAATGTTAAAGTACAGTTTATCTTTCTGTTTTATATTGTATTTGAAGTGAAATATACCATTTTATTCTCTATTTTATACATTTTATAAGTGAACTTGTATCATGAAATTCTCAACTTGTCCAGTCACTTGGGCTTTCACTCGATTCACTCACTGTTGAGTTACTTGTTTCTTTCATTACCGGTATATGTTCTAGCTGGGAACCTAAAAGTTACTTCCCTTGAAGATGACGATAATGATGACGGAAATTCGTCCTCCACGACTGACCTTGACATTCAGCCAGGAGAGTCAGAGTTTGCAGTTCCTAATTTAGGTGGCCTTTATTTAACTTTTTTTTTTTAAAGCTCGCTGCATATAGTTTGCTGTTCCTAATTTAGGCCCTTTACTTTTATTTAGGCCTTCTTTAAAAAAAAAATTGCTTGCCCTCTCCAGACTCAGGATAAAATTATTGAGTCGGTAGGTGGGAAAATCTTTTTTTTTTTGTTTTAATCAACATATTTGTTGACGGGATAAGGGGAATAAAAAGTAAAAAAAAAAAAATATTGTGTCCTGGAATGTAAAAAAAAGTTTTGATTTGGGCCTTTTTTTTCAGTCAGGAGAGGGCAAGTTAAAGTTTTTAAAATGGCTTAGCATGATTTTCTGCATCAAAACCCTTATTGCCTTGATAATATTTGGCAAACGGAAAAAAAAATTGGGTTTTACCAAATTTTATAAATTGTGTATCTCTCTTCCAGATATTCAACCCAAAGAAATTCTGGAAAAACTGAGTTCTCAAGATATTATACCTAACAGTGTTGTGAATGAAAACAGGACAGGAAATTGTGACACTGAAATGGAAGTAGACGTAGTACCCAACAGTGAAGACCTCGGAAAAGACACAGGTGTTCCTAACTACAAAAGAAAATTGGGCAAAGAGGCAATGGCAAAGAACCCAACAAGGAACAAAGTTAAGGAAGGACGCAAACTCAATGATGACAATGTTAATTTAAATAAAGGGGATAGACAACAAAGATATACAATACAGGGATTAGAGGAATCATCAGGTTTGGCTGTTTTTGGCAGAGGGGAGAAGTTAGAGGGAGAAGGGAATTGTCAGAAGGTTGATGTTAAGGGTAGAGAGGCAGATGTCAACTCTGTAAATGTGGTGCCTGAGACGCCACTTATTGCCATTGACAGTGACGCATCTGTAACAGATGCCAGCAGCCAACCTCAAGAGAAGAAACTTGTCAGGAAAAATAGATTAAAGAAGAGCAGTAAAGAAAAGACCTGCAAGAAGAGTCCTGTGGCTACCAAATGTGAAGAGAGTCGCAAAAATGAAAAAGGCACTGACTTATCAACGAACAATACATCTACCACAGATAAAGAGATGAGTGAAAACATAGTTCCATCTTCTGTGGATCTGTGTTCCATGGATGTGGTCGTATTGGATCAACAAAGTGGAAAAGGTGGTTCAGGAAGTATTTCCACACATATATCAAGTGGAACACAGGATAACCAAACTTCTCTTGGAAGTAAGTTCAAAGAGTCTGAAAGTACATCTATACAACAGTCTAATGAGACACAAAATAGCCAAGCCTGTGCTGTGAGGAAGTTGAAAAACTCGAAGAAAAAGCGTGGTAAAAGGAAGGCTGTTCCCTTTGTCATTCAAGAGACTCCAGTATTAGAAGAGGCTAAAGAAACGGATGATGAAGTCACTGAATTGCCAAGGGAACAAAAACAGAACTCAGACATTGTCACAAATTCACAGCAGTCCTTTTCCAGTTTATGTAGCACCCAAGAAAGTGTCTCGATTTTGGCACCAGTCCATAAATCATTTGAAAAGGTTGTGAACAAAAAATCACCAGCTTCTTCAAAAGAAAATCTTAAGGCTGTGAACAGTACCAAAGGACAGGATCAGGATATTATTGAAATAAAATTGCAGGAAAATGAGGCAGATGATGTACAGGACAAGCCTTCATCTTGTGAAATTATCACAGAAGCAGAGGAATCACCTATTGTGATTACAGAGAGTAACCAGTCTTTGAGGAGCTCTTCTAACAAGTTAAGGAGACCAAAAAGGAAATGCTTCTCCCTAGGGAGCCCCGAGGAGGTTCCAAAGGGGAAATCCCAAGAAAGGAACAATTCCTTAAAAGTGGCTGATGTAGACTTGATTAAACAAGATAACAGCAAAAAAGAAGAGGTACTGACAGGGAGATGTGAAGAGGATTTGGAAATCATGGATATTGTGGCGCCTAAACAGAGAGTTCCTGAGAGTAATCTCATTGAGGTAAAGAGCAGTGGGGATGTAAAGAGTACTCCCACTGATGCTTTGATTCCAACCCAGCTCTCACTTAGAAGCATCAAGAAACAAGAGATGAAACTGAAGAAGCAGCAACAGAGTTCCCCAGAAGATGTTTTTCTGATGGACTCTGAACCGCTGGGATCCGGTTCGAGCTACCTGGATCTGGTTCAGAACCAGGAGGGCTTGCTGGAACTGGAGCTGGGAGACATGGACGGAGTTTGTGAGATAAATAACAGGGAAAGTCAGGTGGGGTCCAGTAGTGGAAGAGTAAGTGGAAAAGTGGAAGACTCTATGGATGGAGATTCTGAGCATGTGGAAAAATCAAGTAATGTTAAAGACTATAGAAAAGATAAGGTGGAACATATACAGTGTAGCGGCAGTGGTAATGATAGACCAATTGAGGACAGTGAAGGCAAGAACTCAGAAACTGTGACAACTGTACCTGATACTGAGGAAAATGAAGAAGAGCTTGTACCTAAAAGAAGATCAAGTTTAAGAAGTGCTAGAAGTGTTCCCTCTGACAGTCATGTTTCACAAATGGATGTAAAAATGAGAGATAAGAGAGACTCTTTGAAGAATTCTGATTCTCAGAAAAATTCTAATTCCAGTGGAAGTGATGTCAGTAATGCAGGCAGGAAGGCAGTGAGAGGTTTGGCAAGGAAACTGAGGCAGAAGAACTTGCATGATCCTCATATTATATCAGATGAATGTAAGGTTAAGATGTCAGATAAAGATGTATGTAATGGAGACCCATCAAACAGTTCTAAAGAAATCACCAGTACTTCAAAGAGAAAGGATGAGAAATTTGAGCATCAGCCAATGGAAGAACCTGTTTGTTTTAATGTGGTGCCAGAGACTATGGAGGTTGGTCTGGAAGATCTTGAAGATCAAATGGATGATGAGGTTACAGCCATACCAGAAACTGTGGAAGACAGTCTTCCATGTGAAGAGGAAGAATGTGATGGAGAGAAGGAGTCCAAGACAGAGGAAGATGAAGAGGAAGATACAGATATTACAGATGTGAAGACCACCAGGATTCAAGAAGAGTTAAAACCGGATGACAGTGAGAAAAGAAAAGAAAAAGGTTTAGAAAGGTCACTAGTTTCAGTAAAAGAAGATTCTCTAAGGATGGATGACATCCAAGAAGGAGAAGACAACAAGGTAAAGATGGATGATGTTGTTTCCAGTCCAGCACAGAGCAGCAGACAGGAGGATGGAAATGGAGGAACTGTTGGGGAGTCTGAAACGTTGACAAGAAAAGCGAGTTATATGGAGACTGCAGGAGACGACGAGCCTCTTTTTCATTCTCCAGAGAGTTCCCCTCTACCTGACATTCTGGAGGAAGAGTATGAACAGCAAAAGGTAAAAAAAGAATCATTAATGTACAATTTAAGAGCTGAGGATTTAATATTTTTAGCTCTACTGGTCAGAGACCAGAAGAGCTTATGCGATAGTAATGCGTCCGTCTTCCATCCGTCTGTCTGTCTGTCTGTAAACAATTTTTCAAAAGGCTACTCCTCCTACAGTTTTGGTCCGATTTCAATATAATTTAGCACACAAGTAGACTACACTAAGGTACATAATTCTGTGCATTGGTTTTTGATTTCGAGGAACGGTGTTGCCATGGTTACCAAAAATAGAAATTTCTGTGAAATTCTTTCAAAATGCTACTCCTCCTACAGTTTTGGTCCGATTTCAATATAACTTGGCACACAAGTAGACTACACTAAGATACATAATTCTGTGCATCAGTTTTTGATTTCGATGAACGGTGTTGCCATGGTTACTAAAAATAGAAATTTCTGTGAAATTCTTTCAAAATGCTACTCCTCCTACAGTTTTGGTCCAACTTCAATATAACTTGGCACACAAGTAGACTACACTAAGACACATAATTCTGTGCATCGGTTTTTGATTTCGATGAAGGGTGTTGCCATGGTTACTAAAAATAGAAATTTCTGTGAAATTCTTTCAAAATGCTACTCCTCCTATAGTTTTGGTCTGATTTCAAATTAACTTGGTACTGGTCAGATTATAACGTTCTTCCGTCCGCACAATTTTTCAAAAGGCTACTCCTCCTACAGTTTTGGTCCGATTTCAATATAACTTAATACACAAGTAGACTATACTAAGACACATAATTCTGTGCATCGGTTTTTGATTTTGATGAATGGTGTTGCCATGGTTACTAAAAATAGAAATTTCTGTGAAATTCTTTCAAAATGCTACTTCTCCTACAGTTTTGGTCCGATTTCAATATAATTTAGCACACAAGTAGACTACACTAAGATACATAACTCTGTGCATCGGTTTTTGATTTCGATGAAGGGTGTTGCCATGGTTACTAGAAATAGAAATTTCTGTGAAATTCTTTCAAAATGCTACTCCTCCTACAGTTTTGGTCCGATTTCAATATAATTTAGCACACAAGTAGACTACACTAAGATACATAATTCTGTGCATTGGTTTTTGATTTCGAGGAACGGTGTTGCCATGGTTACCAAAAATAGAAATTTCTGTGAAATTCTTTCAAAATGCTACTCCTCCTACAGTTTTGGTCCGATTTCAATATAACTTGGCACACAAGTAGACTACACTAAGATACATAATTCTGTGCATCAGTTTTTGATTTCATCGAACAGTGTTGTCATGGTTACTAAAAATAGAAATTTCTTTGAAATTCTTTCAAAATGCTACTCCTCCTACAGTATTGGTCTGATTTCAATATAACTTGGCACACAAGTAGACTACACTAAGATACATAATTCTGTGCATTGGTTTTTGATTTCGAGGAACGGTGTTGCCATGGTTACTAAAAATAGAAATTCCTTTAAAATTCTTTCAAAATGCTACATGTACTCCTTTTACAGTTTCCGTCTGATTTCAATATTACTTGGCACACAAGTAAACTCAACTAAGATACATAATTCTCTGCATCGGTTTTTGTTTTGATGAGTAGCGAGGATCATTTATCTATTTATTGCTGTTTTAAAGTTTCAAGTCGCAACTGCTACTTTTATCTTCCTTTGTTTTAAGTATAAACCAGTAGAGCTACAGTCTCGACAGAGACTTCTGGTTTTAGATTGCAATTATTTCTACTGGTAAGGGTTTTGTAAAAAAAAAAAAAAAAAAAAAAAAAAAAAATTGAACTAGGCCTCTGCTGTTTTGTGAATGAATTTTGATGAAGGTTAGATTGATCAATCCAAAATATAACTTTTTTTGTACAATGTTTATTCCTACATAGAGAAAACTACTCATTGAAATATAAACTGTGAACCTTATATATATCAGTCAGTTTTTTCCTCCTTAATAGGAAAGACCATCTGGATGTGTCATCAAGTCCTTAAAAGAAGCCGTTCCACAAAAGGAAGAGGATTCCTATGATAGTTATTCCAGTGGTTTTGAGCTGCTCTCTGAGGACATAATAAAGCCAGAGGACATGGGCCCTGAGGATAGTCCTCAGAAGGCTAGTGTAGATTTTGTGCAAGTTTGGGAGGGAAAAGTACCGTCATATCAGCGGGATACAAAATCAAAAAGAATGGGAATCCATGCCAAGAAGAGGAGTGAGGAAGATGAAATTATGAAGAACTTTGTTGAACTTAGTGATGATGAAAATGATGATGTGTTGATTCATAGACGGAGAAAGGCAAAGAAGAAGGTTGTGATATCTGATGATGATGACAGTGATGTTGAGTTGACTCAAAGACAGACAAAGAAGGTTGTGTTATCTGATGATGATGATGACAGTGCTGATGAATTGACTCAAAGACAGACAAAGAAGAAGGTTGTGATATCTGATGATGATGATGATGATGATGATGATGATGATGACAATGATAATGAAGAGAAGGAAAGTATTGGAAGGAAGAAGAAAAAGACAGCTGTGATAATATCAGATGATGAGGAAGAAAATGATGTGACAGAGGACAAGAAATCTAAACCGTCCATTAATTTGAATGATGAGGATGATTCTGGTAGTATGACTTGTAATTTCGATTTGATCATTCTAAAAATACTTTCCATTAACCTAGATAAATTACTGTGGAATTATTTTAGGGGGGGGGTTCAATGATTGTGGGTAAACAAACTTTAATTTGTTTATGGAGACTAAAGTATGGATAACTTGATTTAATGAATCAATACGTTTACAAAATAAACAATTCAATTCATATGTAAATTCATAGTTAAGGGTGACCCATGAAATCCACAAACATTTACCCCCCAACAAACATTGACAATTCCACAGTATTTACTGAACACATAATTTTTGAATTGTTTATTGCTGTAGATTCTTCACAAGAGAGCCTTGTAAGTCGCCAGATGAACCTGACCTCATCTTCAGCCTTCTCCAGCCAGAGTGAGGGCTACAACACTCAGGTAAAAACACGTTATTTCTGTAATACTCAGGTATAAACTCACAAATTCTACAATACTCAGGTATAAACTCACAAATTCTGCAATACTCAGGTATAAACTCAAGAGTTCTACAATACTCAGGTATAAACTCACGAATTCTAAAATACTCAGGTATAAATTCACGAATTCTACAATATTCAGGTAAAAACTCACAATTTCTACAACACTCAGGTATAAACTCATGATATCTACATCACTCAGGTATAAACTCATGATATCTACAACACTCAGGTATAAACTCACGAGTCACGATATCTACAACACTCAGGTATACATGTAAACTCACAGTATCAAAAACAGGTTCAGTTTCTTGTTAAAGCAAAGAAATTTTGTCTAAAGTAATTTGAAAAATTTATTATCAAGATGTGCCATACACTTGTATATAACAAATTATGTTGCTATTAAAGTCTGTTATGCTTTTAACTTAGGTTAGGTAGTGTACATGTATATTGGAATTCAAAATCACTTAGCTGGTGTGTGAACAAAGACTGCCATAGCTTAATGTAAAAAAAAAAAATATGGAGATTATATAAAAATGTAATTTCTACCTACTCTATATATTTAATGTAGAATCAGATCTTGCTACAACAAGAATTGGAAAGAATGAAGAAAGAAATGGCTGAAATTGAATCACGGATATCTAAAGGAAACCAAAGTAAAAACCTCAAAGAGTAAGTTGAGGATATTTATGAAAAATATTTACCTTGTGAAAAAAAAATGCTGTTCAGTGTTGATAACTTAATTTTTGATATCATGGTTATTCTTTACAAGACTGATGTTTGGTATTTTAATAGCAGACAAAATTTTCACTAATTTGGTTAATTCTGGTTATTTCTCTGCACAATCAATAATAATAGAATTTTTATGCAAGAATGGAATTTTCGCAAGCAGGCCGTCTCATATAATTAACCAAATTATTACCTTTCTCATGAATGAATAGTGATTTCAGTATTAAAAAATCATGATGAGGAGTAAGTGAAATGAAGGTTCTACCATGCATCCTTTTCTTATTTCAATTATATTTATTTATCCTCCATTTTGGAAATCCTTGTTAACAATTTCAAAAAGTCACTTCCGGTTTTGGTTAACTTTTAAAAAATGTCAATGTTTTGATTTTATTTTTTGTGCACATCGGTTTTTGCTTTTCTGTTTCTCTATTCAAAATGGTGCTATATAGGGGTCAAAAATTAGAATGCTTAAAGGAGCCAAAAATTACTCATATTTTGCTTTTTATCTTCTAAACTAAAAATATTTTGTTAAAATATATAGAACATAATTTGTGCAAAATTCATATGATATGTCAAATTAAGAGGCAGCTGAGGAGCCATATTCAGAATATTTAAGAGGTGATGACAAGACATTTTTGCCGTTTTTGACAAGTTTTTGGGTAACATATGGCATTTTTTCCGTGCGCAAGGCTTTAGAGGATTCAAAGCATTTTTTGGCGTTATTTCTCATTTTTGTTAAATTGTATATCACTAAAAATTAATTGCATTTTATTTGTAATAGCTTCTTTTGTGAGCATTTTAAAATCTTTTAAATTACTTATCCCTAAAATCAAAATACCAATTTTTATGGAGAAATCGCTTAATTTTTGTCTCGCAAAAAATTTCTTCTTCTACAGTATTATAAACCAACTTTTATTCGTGCATGACAAATATTTGTGACTTTACCAACCTAATATAGGTCTTAAACTTGTTAGAAGTAAGATAATATATATCAGAGATAGCAAGAGTAATAATGCAAATTTTTGAATTTGTAGAATTACAAACTGAAGAATCTGAAGGGGATTCTGTTCAACAATCCCAGAATACTGTGTCCAAAATGGCTGATGACATTGAAGGCTGTGACTCGGATGACAGCAGTGACCTATTTCTCAGTCCTGCCCCTCCCTCCCCACCCCCTAATGATCCCCGCCCTCTATCTACAGCGGGGGTGGATCTCACTGAAAATTTCAAAGAAACTGAAGAATTCCTGAAAGAGCTCCGAAGTGAGGAGAAAACATCTGAAGGGAAATTCATTACAGAAGAAAATTGTGAAGAGAGATTGTCGGAAGAGGGTGAGGCGAAGGGAAGGAGTGAAAATGAGGCCGGGGATATCATAAGATCCAATCAGAAATCAAAGAATTCGGGTATAAACTCCAAGAGGGACAATTTGACTGATATCAAAGAACCATCAGTGATACAGGAATCTCCTCAAAGCCAAAAACCTGGTAAAACTTCCATGGCTAGATTAAAAGACCTCTACCATTCTACTCCAGTATCCAAAATCAAGAAACCTCAAGGGGGACGAAAAAATACTCTTTCATTCCTGTCTCCAGTCCTGACTCCCAGGGAACTTCTTGGAACACCCCAAACTGAAGTCTACACAGCCCCCAGTGTAAACGTTCCGAGCCCAGCGGTACAAAGATCACCTAAAGAGGACCATCAGAGTAAAGTCTTCATAGCCTCAGGACTTCCTCTCGGTCAGCTGGTATGTAAATAAACATTTTCATATCTAGCTTGTAACACAAGATTTGATTGGTTAGCAAGTCGAGTGTAAATTTCTGTACACCTGACTTTAGCCGTGGGTAAATTTCATGATGCAGAATGCATAGTTTTTCTATGATAAAAAGCAAATAACATAACATCATGATGCATTTTAAAACAAAGTTAATCTTATTGATAGATTGAAACACAGTTATTTGACATTATGTTTATTATTTTTTCTTCAGAATGAGCTTCGTCGATTGGTCCAGAGTCATGACTGTAAATTTCACCCCAAGTTTTCTCCCTACACCACTCATCTCATAGTGAAAACAGGTATATTTATGTATTTTATCAATATAACTCTTATAGTAAATAACTCTTGTAGTCAGTACATCTCACATACACTTCATTATCATAGGGAATTTATCAATTCATGTAAAAATTGATTTTTAGCAAGATAGCGTAGATTTGAATTAGTGCTTACTGGATGTGCTTTATATGAATATATGTAAATAAGACCATACATGTTAACCTATTGTGATGAAAAATAGGGAGATTCAGACCTCAAAAACGGTGGCATTGTGTGTGCGTTGTTTTATGACTTTGATTTATGAAGATATATTTCATGCAATGATGTATGTCTTATTAAGACAGCCAAATGCTTAATACAGTATATATAGATTTTTATGAATGTAAGTCCTGTAATCTTTGATTTTATTTTCTGTCCTTGTAGTCCCCCCGGGGAGTCGGATGTGTGAGAGGACCCTCAAGTTTTTCCAGGCCCTGGCCTATAAGTGCTGGATCCTGGATTACCAGTGGGTGACAGACAGTGTGGCCAAGGGGAGGCTACTGGAAGAGGTATGTTTTCATGATTAAAAAGGTCATGTTAGACCATATTAAAAATATTCCTAGATTCTCATCCCCGCCCGCTCCAATTTTTTACCCCCACCTCGACTTTTTTATTTCTGTTTTTCTTCGTCTTAATTCTGATTGGGATCAGTATTCAACTTCCACTCAACTTCTGTTTTAAATCCCGCAAATGTCAGCATGATTTTGACAGCTGAGATGGTAATTGCTGCAATATGTATTAAACAAGGGTCATTGGTTGTGAAAGATTGGTGATGATGTGAAGAGATCAATGGATCACTACTGTGACTTTTATTCGGGTATTATAGATAAATCTGCACTGATTGACCAGGTCAATAAAAAATCTGCAAAATGGAAAAGTTAAAAAATATAAAATAAAAGCCGCCCGCCTGCCTCAATTTCTCAAAAAATTCGGATGAGAATCTAGGAATTTTATTTCATGGCCTTATGTGTTGGTGCTTAAAAATACTGTATAAAAGAAAAAATGTATAAATGAAATAGTTAATTTGTGTGAGGGTTTTTAAAATTTATGATGGTTTGGAGGCATGACAAGACTCATGAATTCATGTTCACCATAAAATGTAAAATTTTGTATGCATTGTGTATACACCTACTCAACACTTCAAAAACTGTGAAATAAAATCCCCCAAGCCAGAATCTTTTCTTCAAACCTTGAATATTTGAACCCATGAATATATGTGATTTCACAGTAAATTGTCTTAAACATGTTAAAGATTGTATGTAATTTCTCACAGAATGCTGGCTGCCTTTAGATCTCTAGACTGTTTATCAAGAAACTTGAAAACTTTTCTTAATGCCTCATTTTCCCCTAACCATTACTATGTGATAATAAAGGAAGAAATACACAGTTACCAAGTTGAACATAACTATGTAATAATTTACATTGTGTGTGTTTATAATCCACAGGGTCCGTATGAAATCAGTGGAGATACCGTGACGAATGAGCATCACTACGGACCACGGAAATCCAGGACCCAGAGTCCCACTGATCCAGGGATTCTGAATGGAATCCAGTTCCACATCATCGGATCCAGCCAAGGACTTAGTTCAGGTACATATAAAAACAAGGAAGTTGCTAGTCAGCTTTTGTAATTATGTATACATATACATAACTTTGGTACCTCTAGCACTGATATCTTACTAATATTTAGAAGTCCCAATCACTTATCATGCCTCAATCCCTTTGAAGAAGTGAGGGCATATTGCTTTGCTGCTGTGAGTCAGTCTGCCTGTCTGTTTACCAACAGTTTCCATTCATTTTCTTTCCAGAGGTTGCAAATACTGAAATGAAATTTGGTATTCAGATTTATCAAAAGAATATCTACTAGGTCAAGTTCTGTTTTAAATCTGATTGAGCAAATTTTGACAGAGTTATGCCCCTTGTCCGGATGGAGAGGGGGAGAAGGGCATAAGTGTTTCACAAACATCTCTTTTCATCAATGTTTCACCCCCGATATCTTGAATCCTCAGATATCTCAATTTTTTTCTTGGTGTCATCTAGTTGAATTTAAGGTCAAGATCTAGTAAATGACTTTAGAAAAATGTTTCAGTGATAAATCCATTATGACGTCATAATCACTTTCAACTTTCTTTTTCCCGTACTTTACGGCTGTAATAGAATTATGTAGAAAATAAACTATTTCATGGAATTCAATTTGAAATCACTTGAACAGTAGTCCCGATACCTATCTTAAATTTGACATTATTTTAAAGCACAGACTAAGAACATACAAATTTCCGTTTTCTGAAAAACTGTAGGCAATCTGGATATTTTCTTTGTCTGATATGGAAAAAACTCCCATTTTCAACACTAGTTTTCTTTATTTTTCATTGAAAATGACAGTATAAAATATGGTTTTTCATCTTGTTTTTCTACAAATTATGCCCCGAAACACCTATTTTGACCAAGCTAATGTTATAAAGCTTCATTAACGGAATTAATTTCTTAAATTTGAAAAATCTGTAGGCACCCTTCATTTACTAGATCTTGACCTTAACAAGGTTTTACCAAATTTTTTCAAAACATATTATTACATTCTCTTGAGGTGTAGATGATGCAAAAGACCTGGAAAAAAAATTTGAGGCAATATTAGATAATTGTTAACTTTTCCGTGTTTTAGATGACATAAGGGACCTGATAGAGACTTGTGGGGGATGTGTCATCCAGGAGCCCGAGGAATTCGACCGTGACGGTCTCTGTATAATCATCACATGTGCTGCCCTAGAGGACAGTCAGGAAACTGCCCCCTCACAGGAAGTCATCCTGTTTAATCGTAAGTCGTGTTGTCCTTAATATTGTTATCATTTCATGTCATCTTTCTAACAAAAATTTAAAGGTAATATTTTCAGACAAAAAGTATCTAGTGTGGTTTTTCATTTAGTATGAACTTCTTTCAAGTCGTAGCCTTTTATATCTTCATAATCTATAATTATGCACAATGTAATTGAAGTCTGAAAAAAAAGCTGTTTACTGTAAAGAAGTTTTGTTTTAAATTTTTATTTCAATCCTTTGTTTGTTTGTAGGGCTGTAAGTTGTTTGTTTGTTTGTAGGGGCTGTAGTTTGTTTGTAAAGCTGTAGTTTGTTTGTGGGGTTGTAGTTTATTTGTACGACTGTAGTTTGTTTGTTTGTAGGGCTGTACAGAAGATATGGAGCTGTGACGGTTTCCAGAGAATGGTTGTTGGACTCTCTGACTGTATATAACCTACAACCACTCAGTGAATATGTTCTAACCTCAGTCAAAGGAATGGTCATTCCCTCCGTGTGATGGTCAGTGATTGGTCAGTTTGACTGTGTGATGGTCAGTGGTCATTCCCTCTGTGTGATGGTCAGTGATTGGTCATTCTGACTATGTAATGGTCAGTGATTGGTCACTCTAACTGTGTGAGGGTCAGTGATTGGTCATTCTAACTGTGTGATGGTCAGTGATTGGTCATTCCTTCTTTGTGATGACCAGCATTAAGGAACTAAAAACTGGCATGTGTAAAGGAAAAAAGTTCTTTCAGCTGTAAGTTGACAGAAATTGACAGTCTTTCCTTTGTAAAAGATAATGGTCAGCCCACCTCATATTTGTCAATGTAGAGGAAAATCTGGACCACTGTTTAAGCAACAGGGTCATTCCTTTAATGTGCATCATTATGTAACTAGTGGGAGCATCTAATACTTATGGAATCCGGATAGGGCCACGCAGTTCACTATCGCATCATCGCACCATCGAGGTTTAGGTCGATAGTGCGATGAAGAGATAATGCGATGACGATGAGGCGATGGTGCGATAGCGATGAAGTGATGGTGCGATAGCGCGATGACGATGATGCTATGGCGCGACAATGCGATGATGCGATGCGACGCGATGGTACGATGACGCGATGGTGCGATAGTGATGACACGATGATGCGATGACGATGGTGCGATAGTACGATGACGATGAAGCGATATTCACTATCGCTCAATCGTGTTATCGCACCATCGCCATCGCATTATCGCGCCATAGCATCATCGTCATCGCGCTATCGCATCATCGCTTCATCGTTATCGCACCACCGTTTCATCGTTATCGCGCCATCGCATTATCGCGCCATCGACCTTTAAGTTGATGCTCGATGGTGCGATAGTGAAGTGCGTGGCCCTATCCGGATTCCATAAATACTATCAATATTTAGTAGAATTTTTTTTACACTGTATATTGCCAAAGGTACAATGTACAATTTTTATACCAGTCTAAATTGCTTGGTTCATGTATGTTATTTTTGCTTTTAAATACACGTGAAATATATTTATTGTAGTTAGAAGCTGAAAAATAAGTTGTTTTGAATCATTATACAATAATTTGTTGTCTCAATTGATTATGATTTTTATATTTCTTCCTGTGTATTTTCTATTGCATCACTAATGACAAGGGGAAAGGGGGGATAGAAAACAACTGACTTTAAGAAAACTATGTCCTATTGTCCTATCATAATCCTTGGAAGATTTTTCAGTGCATATATAAAGTTTGATATAGACTTTGATTGAAATATATGGAGATATATGAATGAGGAACCTTATAAACTATTGGTGTCTATGAACTTTTTTTTTATCCTTTTCTTTAATTGAATATTATTTTAAGTACACAATTTTTTGTATGATTTGTGAAATAATAATTTCTTATCCTTATGTTGGATATTTTGGGGGGGGGGGGGCTCCAGTGTGTGTAACTCGTACATGGAGACTTTTTTGGTTAATGATTTATTTTGGGATAAGATGTGTCATTGTCCTTGTTTTTGAATTTTATTTATATTGAATCATAAATTCATATTAATTTCATAATTTTTAAAAGTAAAATGTGCTTTTGTTGTCAAATCTTGGATGAATAGTAAATTTAATCATTGATTCAGAATATTCCAAGGTTGTTATTGTTAAAGATAAATAAAGAAAATGAATCTTAATTTCTACACACTCTTTCTAGCTCTCCACCAACAAGTGGTTGTGTCATATGCATTTCAGTTCATTGATTTCTGTTAATTAATATAAAAGAGCATGCTCTAAGTTGGAGCAGTTTCTTAAATGAGGCAAGCTATTGACAAACAAGTTGATGAAACAAAGTATCAACTGTCTTCTTTCAAGTCACAATTTTGCAAAATCTATGGTCGATACAATGATCTTGTCAGTATTACAATACAATCTATTATGAAGTCGATTGATGAACAGTGTTTCTATTACTAATCATAAGGTCATTATTTACACACGGTATTGCCTATGATGTTTTTGTTTTCTCCATCATGACACGGAACACACGGCAGATGTGACTTGTCTAAAGGGGATGCTCACTCCTCCATGGCACCTGATCTCATCTCTAATGTTAGAGGTCTGGCTTGCCCTGTTTCCGATTTGTGTATTTTTTAAATGGACTTTTTAACTTTAATATGGTTCTTCATCTCCTGTTTTTTCTCTTTTTATTCATAAATAACATCAGTGTATAAATCACATGTCATTTTTATTAGATTGTTTAAAGTGGATTACTTCAAACATAGCCGCTAAGGAAATGCTCTATTATTTCTGATTTAATGTTACTTTTACATCTGTCGAATTCGATGGATATTAATTGACATTTTTTTTTATTCTGCAAAACTCAATTAGTCTGAAGCAAGAATTACTATCATATACAACCTGTACTGTTCTATTTATAGAAAATGACAAATGCTCTTAGACTTACTTTAAGAGATGGAAATAAATTTTCAAGATGGCCTATCTGAACTAAAGCTTCATTAGTATTAATATTCTACCATCAATGTATACCCACTTAAGAATTTAAGTTCCCCATTCAGCACGTTGATAGCTTGTCATTATAGAGCGTAAATAATTATTGTTCTTAATATCCATAAAAACACTATCAGATTCATGTATTATTACTATTTCCGAGGGGAGAGCTTTATTAATGCTTAAGGACAATTTGTAAACAAACAAATAAAAAAAGATTATATTCCGTACGGATAAATCCGTGAGTAATTTTTCGTTAAACCAACCCTTTGATCTGATATTTCTTGTTAAGCAGAGTGTTCTTGCATGAACTCAGTTGTCTTATAGAAAGACTTGGGGGCGTAGATCGGTGAATTAACAGATAATTCAGAATAATAATTGTTCTGAATGAATTATTAGCTCACCTGAGCCGAAGGCTCAAGTGAGCTTTTCTGATCAAAATTTGTCCGTTGTCTGTCGTCGTTGTCGTTGTCGTTGTTGTCGTCGTAAACTTTTCACATTTTCATCTTCTTCTCAAGAACCACTGGGCCAATTTCAACCAAACTTGGCACAAAGTATCCTTGGGTGAAGGGGATTCAAGTTTGTTCAAATGAAGGGCCACGCCCTTTTCCAAGGGGAGATAATCATGAATTTGTTAAAAATTAATGGCATTTTTAAAAAATCTTCTTCTCCAGAACCGCTGGGCCAGGAAAGATGAAACTCATGTGGAAGCATCCTCAGGTAGTGTAGATTCAATTTTGTTCAATTCATGACCCCCGGGGCAAGGGTGGGGCCAAAATGGCCGACCCAAGTTTTACATAGGAATATATAGGAAAATCTTTAAAAATCTTCTTCTCCAGAACCACTGGGCTAGGAAAGATTAAACTCATGTGGAAGCATCCTCAGGTAGTGAAGATTAAAGTTTGTTCAAATCATGACCCCCGGGGCAAGGGTGGGGCCAAAATGGCCGACCCAAGTTTTACATAGGAATATATAAGAAAAATCTTTAAAAATCTTCTTCTCCAGAACCACTGGGCCAGGAATGATGAAACTCATGTGGAAGCATCCTTAGGTAGTGTAGATTCAAGTTTGTTCAAATCATGACCCCCGGGCAAAGATGGGGCCAAAATGGCCGACCCTAGTTTTACATAGGAATATATAAGAAAAATCTTTAAAAATCTTCTTCTCAAGAACCACTAGGACAGGAAAGATAAAACGCATGTGGAATCATCTTCAGGTAGTGTAGATTCAAGTTTGTTCAAATCATGACCCCTGGGGCAAGGATGGGGCCAAAATGGCCGACCCTAGTTTTACATAGGAATATATAAGAAAAATCTTTAAAAATCTTCTTCTCCAGAATCACTGGGCTAGGAAAGATGAAACTCATGTGAAAGCATCCTCAGGTATTGTAAATTCAAGTTTGTACAAATCATGACCCCTGGGGCAAGGGTGGGGCCAAAATGGCCGACCCAAGTTTTACATAGGAATATATAGGAAAAATCTTTAAAAATCTTCTTCTCCAGAACCACTGGGCTAGGAAAGATGAAACTCATGTGGAATCATCCTCAGGTAGTGTAGATTCAAGTTTGTTCAAATCATGACCCCCGGGGCAAGGGTGGGGCCAAAATGGCCGACCCAAGTTTTACATAGGAATATATAAGAAAAATCTTTAAAAATCTTCTTCTCAAGAACCACAAGGACAGGAAAGATTAAACTCATGTGGAATCATCTTCAGGTAGTGCAGATTCAAGTTTGTTCAAATCATGACCCCCGGGGCAAGGATGGGGCCAAAATGGCCGACCCAAGTTTTTCATAGGAATATATAGGAAAAATCTTTAAAAATCTTCTCCTCCAGAACCACTGGGCCAGGAAAGATGAAACTCATGTGGAATCATCCTCAGGTAGTGTAGATTCAAGTTTGTTCAAATCATGATCCCCGGCCCTGGGGATAGGGTAGGGCCAAAATGGCCGACCCAAGTTTTACATAGGAATATGTAGTAAAAATCTTTAAAAATCTTCTTCTCCAGAACTACTGGGCCAGGAAAGATGAAACTCATGTGGAATCATCCTCAGGTAGTGTAGATTCAAGTTTGTTCAAATCATGACCCCTGGGGCAAGGGTGGGGCCACAATGGCCGACCCTAGTTTTACATAGGAATATATAGAAAAAATCTTTAAAAATCTTCTTCTCCAGAACCACTGGGCCATGAAAGATGAAACTCATGTGGAATCATCCTTAGGTAGTGTAGATTCAAGTTTGTTCAAATCATGACCCCCGGGGCAAGGATGGGGCCAAAATGGCTGACCCAAGTTTTACATAGGAATATATGGGAAATATTTTTAAAATTCCTTCTCAATTACCACTGGGCCAGGGAAGATGAAACTCATGTGGAATCATCCTCAGGTAGTGTAGATTCAAGTTTTTTCAAATCATGACCCCCGGCCCTGGGGATAGGGTGGGGCCAAAATGGCCGACCCAAGTTTTACATACGGATATATAGGGAAACCTTTTAAAATCTTCTTTTCAAGTACTTCAAAGCTATGATTAGTGATACTCGGGGTATTTATATGGAATCATCCTCAGGTAGTGTAGATTCTAGTATGGTCAAATGATGAACGCCTGGAAGTAGGGGGGGGAGTAAATTCAAGCCCGATGTGCTCAGGTGAGCGCTGTGGCCCCTGGGCCTCTTGTTTCTATTGGTTTCGTCTCGAATTCATCTTATACGAATTAAAGTTTTGTGTACTGCCTTTTTAGTGAGCATTACATGCATTTCGATTTAAGCCGGAATTTTTTATGTATATGTAAGGAGTATATCTTTTCTGACATCCTTATGTGGGTGTTATATTCTTTCCGATCCCCCCCCCCCCAAACTTTACAGGTGAGAACTAATCTTACCTGCTCCATAAGCATACATTGGCCTGTAGGAAGCTATTTTCTAAGGGGCTGGGGTTTGTTACGACCAAACATTTTTAGTTTGGAGGGACTACCAAAAATTCAAAATATATCGGACAAGCAAAAAAAAATCGTAGGGGGCATAAGCATATAATAGTTACATGTATGCTAAAACCTTTTTATTGTATTCTATATATATTGAGATAAAACTAAATACCTCCACCCACCCGCCCCGGTCCTACGGCCTTCCATTAAGAGTGAGGACTTGAATGCTTCCCGACCACGTATTTTGTGGACAAGTAAAAAATGAACTGATATTAACAGAATGCAACCATTAATTTACTAAATTCCTTACATCATCGCACTTTAGATTTCTATTTTCTACAGTAATATGTACATGTACTATAGAACCCACGCAAGTGATAATATCCAAAATCAGTCAAAGACCTGAGTCATTGTCCGCGTGTGTTTATGTTGTACAACAGTACACGTAGAATATTCTTCGAACATTTATCTTTCGTGGAAATGATTTTCGCGTTTTCTTCATGAAATCTTTGTATTATTCCATTTCTTAATCGAGATTTTTTTTTGTCAAAGAGCCGCAGGTAATGTAATTAAAATTTTGTTTCTGATCTAGAGAGTACACGGCCGTTGGTTTTGTTTTTATGTGTATTTGTTTTGCGAACAGGTCTGTTGATTATGCTTCGAATGTCATTTGTTAAGTTTTTTTAATGAATAATTGGTCGTTTTCTCATTATGATAATTTTTGCCTTTTCTCAGTGCTGCCGACCATACATAACACACCTACAAACAAACACAAGTACACGATTGCGTTATGTAGTACAACCCTTCCAATTCCATTGCGAGGGGATAATTACATATGTAGCTGGAATCTCTAACAAAAATATTTTCAATAAAAATCATTTTTTTAAAAAATCAATTCACTCCAGGAGAGAAATTTGTACAAACATTAATTTTGGTTTACGTTTGCTTCTGAATTTCTATTCCTATCACAATGCACAGGAACGGATTGACAAATGGCAAACGTTGCTGTCTGGAATTTCCACTCTTCGTCACACTTTTGGAGATACCTTTTGTTCCAAAAACAAAACGTTTTGATGACGTAGTACCGGGTTTCTTTGAATCTCCACACATACAGGATGGGATTTAATATACTGTTAGAAAACAGTAGAACTCCTGTGTAGGCTATGAGTCGACGATAGTGACTGTCTTTCATAGGAAAGAAAGCGTGGAGCAATAAAGCCGGGGTGTAACAAACCAACGCAAAACCCGTTATTAACGCCATTTTAGAGAGAACTTTGCTGGTGGCATCCTTGGGTACCATGTACAGCATAACTCCTAGGAGCACAATGTTAATAATAGCAAAAAGTATTATCGATGCACTAGAGATTGCGGTGCCAAAATTATAAGGTGACCAATACATCATTGAACAGTATATTCCTGTTGGCTCCGTCGGGTCGTAGTACATTAAGTATGAATTTCCAAATGCAAGAAACCATGCGGACACACAAGAAAATCTAACTCTGAATGCCGTCACTTTTATGTAATACCTTATTCCAAGGAAGAGAGCGAGACATCTGTCGAGGTTCAGAAGCGAAATAGTATAAAAGGTAGCGAACACAATGGTAGCCGCCAAATATTTCTTGATTCTGCAATGAAATGCCCACTCGTAGGCGTAGTCCGGAAGTGCTAAAACCAACCCGGTCAGGCAGTCTGCGATGGAGAGATTTAAGAGTAGAGTCCGGATTTGGCTTATCATGTTACGACACCTCAGTAAAACGGCTACAGCAAGAATATTTTCTAAGAATGTCGGGATTCCAACAATCATTGAGATTTTGTTCGTGAAGTAAATGGTCGGTTCCTCCACTGTGGAACTGTTCGTCCAGTTTCCAAATTCCCCCTCTTTTGTCTCATTAATTAAATGTATCATCGTTGCCATCCATTCATTCAAGATGATCACAATTAAGTCATTGAGTTCAGCAAACAGTAGATTTTTCACTGTACTAAAACACAATAAAAACATTACATGATATTTTCATGAATTCATTTTTGTTTATCAAATAGCTATTTTCAATTAGCAATATATAATCATTTGGATTATACGTAGTGCGTGATGCAATACGGCAACAATACGTCTTTACGCTTATCTCCCTCCCCTGCAAGTTTATATTTGTCAATATTTAATAATTATGTAAAAATAGTAATGCTTACTGAGTATTCATTCATGAATTTGAATAATTCATATTAAGTCTGACACTTTTCAGAATTAATTATAATTTTGGTCAATCCTCGTGTTTAAATAAATCCATCTCTTGATCAGTTTTTTTAAACCAAAGAAGATAATAAGAGAAACACAATTTGGCGTAACAAAATTTTCGCAAATTCTATGATCGCATCATGAACTTTCTTGCAAATACAAACTTTCTTGAGCCAAATTAAGGCTAACAGATTTCATATCAGTTGTAAGGCCACATTGTCTTTGTTAATTTTGACTATGGATCATCCACTTGGCTTATCAACACAGAAGGCTTTCGGTGGACATGACCTAAGGATGCTTACTCCTCTTGGGCAACTAATCCCATCTCTAGGGGGTTCGTGTTTTTGTTCTGTTCTCAGTCCGTTTTATTTAAAGAATTTAGGAGATTGCACTTTTTAAAAAGATATCTTCGCTTTTATCATTGTTGCAAAGTGAGAGAGGAGGGTGCATCCACTAACACGCATGAAAAAATTAGTGTTATTGTCAAACAAATGCTATAACACAAATGCAACGAAGTTGCACATATGTCTTTTAGTGTCTGAGAAGAAAAACCAACAAATCGAGTACGTACTAAATAATTTCTAAATGGAAATAAAATGACATAAACTAACGTATACTTACCAATTGCTGTGTTCAGTAAGTTCCTTTGTTGCTGAAATGTTAACTACTAGTATTCAAATAAAAAACAAAAATGGTAATCCAATATTTTATACCAAAAAACAATCCTTTTTTCTTTTTCACATTCTAGATTGGGGACATGGTTTCGGTATTTTCTGGATAACTTTTAAGCACGTACCGGTTTTAATTAATGTCTTCATAAATTAATTAATATTGTCCTTATAGACCGACACGCAGACCTCTGCTTCAATACCCAGATGATTTATCTATCTTAAATCAGAGAGCTACGTGAGCTTACAATTAATATACCCGACGGAATTGTCAGACTATAAATGGATTCCTTGTCATGGCTATAAAATGTTATAGGCTATTCCTTTAGAAATCTTAATTATTATCCACTCATTTAATGGAATTTTCAGGGATCCACGTTTAATGCCCCTTTTACAGATTTTTATTTGTTTATTTACTTTAAAGATTTGAATGATCACTATTTTTTTTTTCATTGTTTTGTAATTGCATATTGATAATGTGATTTAATAAGCCATGTAAGCCTTAAGGAATAAATAAATAAAACAAACAACTTTTAAATTTACCATGAACTGGAGAATGAAATTCAGGATTTTGGAAGAGGCATCCTTACTCGTCATAATCGTGCACTTAGTTTGTTTACTGAACACCATATGGAGCAGGAAAAATTTTCTGATAAATACAGTAAAACTTCTCTCATCCAGATGCTGTGTATTATGAAATTTTGCCTAAGAAAATATTAATACGAATTCCCTTTCAATAAATTAAATTGTTTGAAATGTTTTCTAGTCCAAAATGTTGGCGAATCCAGCTTATTTCTTAGTTCAGATTAGACACGTTTCACTCATAATGCAATGGATTTTGTCGCCCGTTGAAAGTGGGGGATATTAATTTCGGTCTCTCTGTCCGTCCGTCTGTCTGTAACACTTTCGTTTCCGCGCGATATCTCGAGAACCTTTGAACTTTTGAAGTGAAATTTTACACAACTTCCTATGGCCTTAGGAAGACTCCTAGTGACTTTGAGGTCAAAAGGTCAAGGTCATAAATTCAAAAAAATTTTTCTTTCGTTTCCGCGCGATATGGAATATTGCCTATGGAAGACCCCTTTTGATGTAGAGGTCTAAAGGTCAAAGATCAAAGCCGTTAATTCATATTTTCTGTCTGTGTGTTAAAGCTTTCATTTCCAGGTGTTATCTCAAGAAGCTTTTGAGTTTTTGTCCCCTCATTTCCAGGTGTTATCTCAAGAAGCTTTTGAGTTTTGTCTCCCGCTGATAGTGGGAGATATTAATTTAGGTCTGTCCGTCCGTCCGTCTGTCTGTACATGTATTTAAAACACTCGTTTCCACGCGATATCTCGAAAATTAAGCCTTTCAGCTTTTTCAATTAAATTTTAAAAGACAACTTCTTATGGTCTAAAGAAGATGCCTATTGATTTTGTGATCAAAAGATTAGCAGAGGCTAAACTAGACACACTAAGTTTTGTGTAAAATTTTGACTATGTAGAACGTGATGTAAACATGTATAATTGTGACCGACTGTTTGCATTTAGTTCCTCCCAATGTAAAGTTTCTTGATGGGTACGATTCTCGCTTAGGATGTAAGACCACCCCAATTCCCAGATGATTTTTTAAAATTATTTTTATTTACTAAATGATAGTAATTAAGCATGAAATGAAAATGTTTCGTATGGCATGTACAAACTATTACATGTAATACAGTGTGATCAATATTTTATATAAAAAAAGAATCTTCATATACATTTTAAAGATTAAGCAGTCAAATCTTAATGTCCATATTGGCATCTTTTATTTCCTTCAGTATATGCATTTAATAATTCTGCAAATTCAGGGAAGGGGGGTTGTTCAAATCCACCCACACCCCACCCCCAATTTCAGCATCCTCCTTTTCTTTTCCTTAAGCAGGGGACACAAGTTCTCTGAATTAGCTTGTTTACTATTTCATCAATAGATTCTTAGCCTAACATCAGATCCCTTCACCCAGGGACCATGAAATTCAAAATTTTGGAAGAGACAACCTTGCTTGCCATAACATTGCACTCAGTTTGTTGGCTGAATACTCACATCAATGGGTTCACAGGTGCATGAAAGTCAGTCAATATATGGGGTCTCAATAGCTCAGTGGTTAGAGCGCTGGCACAGTACGCAAGGGGCCTTGGGTTCGAGTCCCGATTGAGACATGACTTTTCACCACCTGTGACATTTGGCGCCCAACGAAAAAACCCACTGTCCCCTTGGAATATTCTTCACACATTTCCTCAACTCATAGAATTCGAGGACGAATTTCTACAAAAAGGGGGAATATGTCAACGGGTTCACAGGTGTGTAAAAGTCAGTCAATATATCGGGTCTCAATAGCTCAGTGGTTAGAGTGCTGGCATGGTACGCCAGAGGCCCTGGGTTCAAGTCTCGATTGAAACTTGATTTTCACCACCTGTGACACTCATGTACAAAAAAGAATGCTTAATGTCCAAGAATACATCTATATAAAGATATTTGAATATTGCATTTATTTTGTAAATTTTGGCTCCATGGACCTCTGGAAGGGTGCTGGAGACCATGACATTCACAAATGTTGTTACCCTTTACACAAGGGTGCTTAAACCAAACAGTCAGAGCCTAGTAAGTGACAAAGGTTCCCTAGTTGTAAAGGACACAATATGTAGAAATGCTTTAATTTTTTTATTCTTAGCCATAAATACTCATGAAAACATTGGTATACATATTAATTTACTAATTTTTTTTCACAGCCTCATTCATTTCTTCTACTCTTTGCATGAAAAAATCCCTTTTGGTCTTGACCGGAATACGGTCATTCCAGAAAAAATATTCCTTCTCATTCCCAGCGGCAGTGAAGTGGTCTCTTGTGTTATCTTTCATTATATAATACAGTGCTTTATTTCGACGAACAATCTGTGTGTAATATTCAAGTCCCCCATTGATATAATCTGGACCAAACTCTGCCACTTCTAAGTCAACATTGGAGTCTTTCCTGCGTTTGTACCAACACCAGAATTGTAGCAGAACCAGTCCATTGATGGGAATACTAGGAAGCAGTGTTAGTAGTAACTGAGATCGTGATTTGATACGCGTCACACTTAGATACACAAGGGCTGAACAAATGGCCAAAAACACTGCCAAAAGTAAATACTTAATCTGCATGTCGTAACTATCGGTCAGTAAGCACTCCCGCAGTAATGCGTATTTGACCGCGTTTTTTCCCTGAATGATAGATTTTTTGAGGACCGCCCCTTCCTGTGTCCCGTCTTCAATCGGGAGGGTTTGTCCAATCATAAAATTGTCCATGGGAACTTCCTCCGGATGATTATATGTGAATGTAATTGGAAGAGCTATGAAGGTTCCAAATCGAGAGTTCAGGTTTCCCTTGTGAAACGGATCATTCATGTCACCATTTAGAATGATGTCCATCTTCTCTAACTGTTGTTGTGACAGTCTTCCTTTTCTGATCAAATCTTGAAATACCTGCAAGACAAATTTTTCAATGAGTGATTATAAAATTTAAATATGTTACTTAAATTGCTTCTCAATTCTGAGAATCAAAGGAAATACTTTCAAATCTTATGGTCTCAAACATTTGTTAAGACCAAGAAGATACCTCAAGATATGCTAAGATTTAGATATCAAAGCTAAATTACTTATTAAAGATATGGAATATGGACTTCAAATCCTGGTTTGGACTTTTTTTTTCTTTTCTGTTTCACATTTAATATAAACTCCTGCAACTATCAGGGGGCACTTTTATAATAGAGTCAAGTGTGGGATACAAATGAGTTCCAATTTACCATGCAGGTAAATGTTTCACTTATTCTCAACTGCTAGAAACAGTCCTTCAACCCTATGGGTAAACTTTAATACATTAGATCTCCATACTTGTACTATTGAAGATATTTGTATATATCCATGCTATCTTTTAACAACTGCAATGTGTATACTTCTAAATTAAGTCTGCCAGTCAGTAATCAACGATTAACAAGCCAGAATTTTTAAAATCTAGCACAGGCAGTCTGCTCTCTCAATCCTAACCCTAAAGTTCCTCACATTTGTTGTCAATCATTATTATATGCAAGGAAATGTGTTTTATATGATTGTCAAGTTACTACTAAATAGTAGCTAAAATAGTGTCACCTGCTTTACAGGTGTGTAAGAGTCACTCAATAATTGGATCTCAATAGCTCTGTGGTTAGAGCCTGGCATGGTATGCCAAAGGCTAGGAGTGAAACGGTTCACCGCGGTATTTTTTCTCGGTTCGATACACGGTACAAAATCTCTGCTTTCGGTTCGGTTCGTTTTACGGTCGGGATCGTCATTCAGTCGGGTTTGGCATAAGGTATACGTATACACATGCTTTTCTGTATAATTAGTTCAGAAACGTAAGTTTGTGTGGACTTGAAGTTTGTAAAATAATTTTTAACAGTCAAATCAATTAAATTGATACATTCTATCCATTTTGCACATAAATTATTTCACTAGATTAAGTAAAAGGTAGCATAAAACAACATTGAATCTGTTTCCTTCTATCAAAATGTATCGTATCGAAAATAACCGAACCGAGACCAAATTTTTCGATACGTATCCAACCGTGAAGGAGGCGTATCGTTTCACCCTTACCAAAGGCCCTGGGTTCGAGTCCCAGTTGAGACTTTTTCACCACCTGTGACAGACTCATTGCTCTACCTATCTTTTTCACCTTTACAACAGTTACCCTTGCTTTGTTCTCACCTCATTCTTGGCCTCCTCCAGTTTTGGGGTCAGAGGATATGGTTCCTCCATCTCTTTTAATGTCAGCAGGTACTTGTATTCCTTTAAAAACAAGGTTTCTGGGGCACAAAAACCAAAGAGCTCAGCCAGTGACCCAGCTGTCAGGGCAGAAGCTAGTATCACTCTGTTCCATTCCAACACAAATTTACGGAACTGAAAAAAATCCAGCCAAAAAAAAAATCAGTAAGAGGAAAACATAAACAGTAGTTAAATTAATTCAAATATAGCTGAGACATGGCTACATGTTTTATCCCTTAAAAATGTAGTAAAACATTTTCCTTTGGTTTGTCTTTTTACCACTATCTTTACAGAAGCTGCAGAACTGTTTAGCTCTCTGAAAAAAAATATTGACAGACCGGAGAGCTACAGTGCCATCCATTGAAGAAACTGTATATTTATGGCACAAAAAAAGTGCTTTTTCAGAGTGTATCCTGATTTATTTCTCCATTTTTATTATTAAAACTGTCATCTAAAAATATTACTAAATAATATTACTAACTGTGTGTTCTTAACAAATTTTGTCACATTCCGTTTCCACAATAAAACTGTTAAACATTCCTTATAATTGTTGTTCATAGCCATCCTGGCCCTGAAATTGAGATCATTGAAAAATTTCACCTATTTATACTGCCATTTTGGTTTGCAAGATATAATTTGGTCAAACGCATTTCATACGCACTTCAACGCTTAATAAAGGAGTAAGGGATTTTTTTGAAATCTAGATTTTTGCAATTGAGGTAAGAATTTGGAAGAATTAATCCAGAACGGAGTGCACTTTTTTGTGCGCAATAAATATACAGTTTTTTCAATGGGTGGCACTGAAGCTCTCAGGTCTGTCAATAAATTTTTCCCCAAAGAGCTACAGTTCTGCAGCTACACCATTATCTGACCACCACCAAAGCAACATAACTGTAAGGTCTGCATTCATAAACATAGAGAAATTTCTAAATGGATTTGTAAACGGCTTTAATAGTCTTTATCACAACTATATTTTAATAAAGGTAAAAGCTTCATGCCATTGCTGATCTTTCTTGGAAGCTTCTTTTTTGGGGGTGGGTCAGTATGGAAAGTATCCAAATAAAGTGATTATATTGTGTTCCAAAAATAAAGCACAATTATAATATATCTATTAATGCATTTATTAGTTCATCACTGTCCATGCTATACTGCTTGCATAATGATTATGTTTAATCTTCAAGTTGTAATCCTGTTATCCACTGCATAGTTGACTTCACTGATCCATACACTTGCATGTATGTATGTATTTTATTATTTGTCTTTTGTATGTAACATGGTTGTATGCCAACATGTTTGGTGAATCAATAAAGAAATTGAATTGAATTGAATATTAGGCATGTTATTGAATGTTAGGATACTTTTCCTACTGACCCCCCCACCCCCCCCCCCCCAAAAAAAAAGATAATTGGTGCATGTACTTAAATTACCTCTTTCAAAATAATGTAGAATAGTACTCTATCCTATAGTCATCAACATATGCAAAGTTCATTCTAATTAATCAAAATCTAAAGTAAACGTGATAGAAAAGTTCACCGAGTAAATTCGATCTATCCATGTGATAACCACGCATTGGTGAACTTTCACAGTGAAATTTTTTTGTTCTGATAAGATACTCACCCGACTCATGTTTCAAGAGTTATCAGGCTCTCTATTAACTTAAATGAACCACCATTTAAAAGATTACACAAGCAACCTTGTCGTTGTGGTCGGGATCAAACACCGGCATTTTGCACTGAATGGTTAGGTCGTACTACCACACAGTCGGATGCTCGAAAGCTTTATTCTGTTATTTGGCGCGCACATGATAACTATTTGGGGCGCTCATTTACTTAATTGCCCCTCCCAACACGTGTGCTTTTATATATGTGGCGCCTAGCTTTGTGACTGTCACAATTAATTTTCTGAATTATTTTACAAATTTTTATAAGCTAGAAAAAAAATTAAAGGTGTGCTTGAATTAGAAGAGTCTTGATGATAAAGAAAAAAAGTCGCATTGATATATTTTACAGTAACTTTCTTAAAAATGATATGCAGGAGAAGACCATAAAAAATACACATACAAAATAAGCATAAATGACAACTGTAACCATGGTAAAACTAAATGTTCCGATGTTTTGGCAAAGATTATGTCAAAGTCCAGGTCTTGTCACAAGGAATAAGCCCAAGAACCAATTGTTCAAAAGATATGACCAAGGTTAAAGTAATAAGTTAGATCAAACTCCAAGGTCAAGAGGTCAAATATGTTGGTACCCAAATAAAGGTCTTACCTCAGGAATACACATGTGCAATATAAAAGCCATAGCACCCATCAAAAGTTATAGGCAAGGTTAAAGTTTTTGTGGACAAACAAAAAGACAGTACCGAGATTGGCAGGACAAAAACTACTATAATACATACCCTCAAATCTTAGATTTCAGGGGCATAAAAAAAATCCTAGCACCTGGTTTTGAAGTCCCTGTAATGTTAACTTGTTCATCAGTAGCCTGCCATGGTTTGAAATCTGTGTGATTGTACTCATTTTACTCTCTTGAATATTGAGTAAGTTGGGAGATTTTAATTACCACCAATTGCAGGTCTGGTCATATCAATGATAACATGATAAATGGATTATGTTTGTAACAACACATTGACCCACAATGTAGTTGCATTTCTAACCATATAAATCTGTGAACCTGCAAAAAACAAGAGGCCCAGGGGCCACAGCGCTCACCTGAGCACATCAGGCTTGAATTTACTCCACCCCCCCCCCCCCCCTCCAGGTGTTCATCATTTGAACAAACTAGAATCTACACTACCTGAGGATGATTCCATATAAATGTCACAAATCATAGCTTTGAAGTACTTGAAAAGAAGATTTTAAAAGGTTTCCCTATATATCCCTATGTAAAACTTGGGTCGGCCATTTTGGCCCCACCCTTGCCCCGGGGGTCATGATTTGAACAAACTTGAATCTACACTACCTGAGGATGATTCCACATGAGTTTCATCTTTCCTGGCCCAGTGGTTCTTGAGAAGAAGATTTTTAAAGATTTTTCCTATATATTCCTATGTAAAACTTGGGTCGGCCATTTTGGCCCCACTCTAGCCCCGGGGCCCCACCCTTGCCCCGGGGGTCATGATTTGAACAAACTTGAATCTACACTACCTGAGGATGATTCCACATGAGTTTCATCTTTCCTGGTCCAGTGGTTCTGGAGAAGAAGATTTTTAAAGATTTTTTCCTATATATTCCTATGTAAAACTTGGGTCGGCCATTTTGGCCCCACCTTTGCCCCGGGGGTCATGATTTGAACAAACTTGAATCTACACTACCTGAGGATGATTCCACATGAGTTTCATCTTTCCTGGTCCAGTGGTTCTGGAGAAGAAGATTTTTAAAGATTTTTTCCTATATATTCCTATGTAAAACTTGGGTCGGCCATTTTGGCCCCACCTTTGCCCCGGGGGGTCATGATTTGAACAAACTTGGATCCACACTACCTGAGGATGATTCCACATGAGTTTCATCTTTCCTGACCAAGTGGTACTGGAGAAGAAGATTTTTAAAGATTTTTCCTATATATTCCTATGTAAAACTTGGGTCGGCCATTTTGGCCCGACCCCTGCCCCGGGGGGTCATGATTTGAACAAACTTGAATCCACACTACCTGAGGATGATTCCACGAGTTTCATCTTTCCTGGCCAAGTGGTACTGGAGAAGAAGATTTTTAAAGATTTTTCCTATATATTCCTATGTAAAACTTGGGTCGGCCATTTTGGCCCCACCCTTGCCCCGGGGGTCATGATTTGAACAAACTTGAATCTACACTACCTGAGGATGCTTCCACATGAGTTTCATCTTTCCTGGCCCAGCGGTTCTTGAGAAGAAGATTTTTTTAAAAATGCCATAAATTTTTCACAAATTCATAATTATCTCCCCTTGGAAGGGGGCGTGGCCCTTCATTTGAACAAATTTGATTCCCCTTCACCCAAGGATACTTTGTGCCAAGTTTAGTTGAAATTGGCCCAGTGGTTCTTGAGAAGAAGATGAAAATGTGAAAAGTTTATGACAACGACGACAACAACGACAACGACAGACAAGGGACAAATTTTGATCAGAAAAGCTCACTTGAGCCTTCGGCTCAGGTGAGCTAAAAAAGGGGGGGGGGGTCAATTTAAGGTTTATTATAGACATGGTTTACTTTGTTATGTATCACTTTAATAACCTGTCCATCACAATGCACAACATCAAGATCATTTAAAAATTTATTTTTTATAATTTTCTAATTCTTTAAATACATTCAAGTGCAGTTTTTCATTTCTTTCATCTTTTTCATAAAGAACTCCTTCTTCTCTGTGTAAGGAATTTGTTTATTACCGAGAAGAGATTGTCTCTGGTTTCCATTTTCATCATACCATCCACTCCCCGATAACTTGTTCTGCTGTAAGACATTTGAATAATACAGAAGTCCACCTCGGACATAATCCTCACCAAACGTAATAATGTCATTGTCCGCCTGTTGGTCTCTGTAAATCTTGTAAAAATTCCACTGTTGTAACAACACAATTCCGATCAGTGCAGACCAAACTATTGAGTACATAATTCTATGAGGGACTCTGCGAAATCTGTAGGTATTCCACTGTAGGATTAACGAATAGAAAAAGCAGAAAACCCCCTGCAAAGCTGTGCGTACTTGAAGATCAAGGGAATCTGTCAGAATGCATTCTTTCATAATAGCGTATCTTACTGCACATTTGTCCCACTGAACTAGATTATTGGGTAAAACTTTTCTATTTGAAACTCCATCTGGGATTTCTGCATTAGAATGTTGAGATGTTTCTGAATCTAAACTTGAGAAAGAGGATGGAAGTCCAATAAAAGATCCATAGACAGAGTAGAGATTTCCTTTGTGAAATGGCTCAGTATTGTCCTTGCTGATGATGATATCAATTTTCTTCAATTGCTGCTCTGTTAGTCTCTTTTTCTTCATTAAATCTTTAAAAACCTTCAAAAGACAAACATAATTTTAATATTAATTACTTTAATTATAATTTATAAATTATAGCTGGGACAATATTTTGATATCAATTCTGTGTGAGGATGATACATATATTGATACCAGTAGAAATATGCATACAGAAAAAAAAATCAATTAAAAATTGAGAAGATATACAATATTTAATAATAAAAGCAATTTTAGATTTGTGCATTTAATTTTTTAATGAGAGAATTAAAAACAGACACAATGGATATTTTTTTATTGAAACAAATGTTTTGTTCATTTCAGCACTAAAAATTTCAATGCAAAAGAATTTCTTTTATAACCACTTTTTCAGATACCAGTATATGTTTTTACTATAGAAAATATTCACTGAAAAATGGGCTGGCACCCCCCCCCCCCCACACTTTTTGTTGCAGTATAATATAATTGAACAAGGGTAATACAGTGTTTGAGTAAAATAATGCTACTAAAATAAGTTGAAACTTATCCTACCCTCCCTACAAATTTGAGTTTGGACAATATTTTGCTTGTCAGGTGTTTTTCAGGTAAGTTGAATTTCATTATGAAACTAATTCGAAATTAATTTCATTTGGAACATGATGCTAAGTCACTGATCATTGCTTCAAGTAGCAGGATGTTTGAGGGTCCAATGTGTGATGTTTTCATCCATGTACACTGTATTTCTGAGCAATATAACAATGAAACCATTCAAACCAAGCCTACAAACCTCTCTGATACAATTCTGTAAAGCTTGTTTGAGTGGTGCAGGTTTTCCATTATCCTTTAGAGCCAGTAATTCTTTGTAATAATTCAGAAGTATTGTTTGGGAGGAATGTAGTGAAAACAGACAAATAACTGAGCCCAAGCAACTTCGTCTAAATACTGGCCCAAACAAAAGCATCGATGAATTAATCTTCTGCCTCTGAAAATAAAACAAATTCATGTATAAATTAAAAATGAAGAAAGTTTAGAATGAAACTTACTTTGATAAATATCTTAAAATTCTTATAAATTGAATATTCATGAATCCAGAAATTATGTAGTTTGTTTTCAGAGACAGCAAAGTCATAAACTTCCTTTCAATAAAACAAGAGGCCAATGGGCCTTTTAGGTCACCTGAGCATTATGCAACAACTTTCCAGTTATTGAATTTGATTCTAGGGATGGGTATCGCCAAAAATTTCGTATCGCGATATATCACGATTTCTTTTTCCCAAAATATCACGATAATATCATGATATTTTTACAATCAATTTTTACAATGATTTTTAATGAATTGTCATTATTTTTCTTAAATATATGCTAGAAAATCAAAATTTCACTTTTTTTGAAATTTTTATGTACATTAAATTAATCATGTTTGGATGGTAAGATGCTGTTCTTTTCACCTTTTACAACATTTTTAGACTTTCTATAATTGTAATTTGAAAGACTGAACAAATAAATGAATAATTTCAGGACTTTAAAATATGTACCTAAATATCAGTATTTAGGTCTCCATATCACGATACGTATCACTCAACAAAAAATCGCGATATACCGGTATACCGATAAAATCGCACATCCCTATTTGATTCATGTTTTAAGCCAGATGCTATAGCATTCACAATTTTAAAAGAAGCACCATGGATCATCATAACAATACACTTAGCAGTTGCTTAGCTTGGTTACTTAATACCCATAGGCAGGGTAGGGGAACAAAAAATGCATTTTAACTAATCAGTAATATTCAGCAATAATCAGTAGTGCCCTTACCACACATGAACCCCTGACCCTTAGGCCTAGATCCACACACTGCATAATTTTTGAAAAGGCATATTTGCTTTCAAAAATATTTGATTAATATCAAGGAGAAGATTTCAAACAATTCTGACATTCATTTTCAGTATATAAGTACAACCCCCCCCCCTCTATGGTACCCCTGACCCTGAAGCCTTGAAATTCACAATTCTGCAAGATAAGGGCCCTTGCTCATCATAACTATATGGTAGTTCATCTGCTTCATACCCAGAGACAGAAAGAAGATTTTCAAAGATTTAATGTATTATCACTTTATAATCAATAGAGCCCCACCCTAACACCAGAACCCCTGACCCTAGGGCCATAAAATTCACAATTTTGGTAAAAGCACTCTTGCTCATCATAACTATGCACTTAGTTAGTTTATTTAATATCTAGGAGCAGAGAAGAAATTTTTCAAGGAATTCATGTATCTTCAATATATAATCAAAAGAGCCCTGTCCTAACACCAGAACCCCTGACCCTGGGGCCATAAAATTCACAATTTTGGTAAAAGCAGTCTTGCTCATCATAACTATGTACTTAGTTTATTTAATACCTAGGAGCAGAGAATAAGATTTTCAAAGAATTCATGTATTTTCAGTATATAATCTATAAAGCCCCGCCCTAACACCAAAACCCCTGATCCTGGGGCCATATGATACACAATTTTGGTAGAGGCACTCTAGCTCATCATAACTATACACTTAGTTAGTTTATTTAGTCCCCAGAAGCAGAGAAGAAGACTTTCAAAGAATTCATGTATTTTCACTATATAATCAATAGAGCCCCACCCTAACACCAGAACCCCTGACCCTGGGGCCATAAAATTCACAATTTTGGTAAAAGCACATTTGCACATCATAACTATGCACTTAGTTAGTTTATTTAATACCTAGGAGCAGAGAATAAGATTTTCAAAGAATTCATGTATTTTCACTATATAATCTATAGAGCCCTGCCCTAACACCAGAACCCCTGACCCTGGGGCCATAAAATTCACAATTTTGGTAGAGACACTCTTGCACATCATAACTATGTACTTAGTTGGTTTATTTAATACCCATGAGCAGAGAAGAAGATTTTCAAAGAAATAATGCATTTTCACTATATACTAATTTACCCCTGCCCTACCACTAGAACCCCTGACCCCAGGGCCATGAATTTCACAATTTTAGTAGAGGACTCAATGTTGATTACAATCATGCAAACAGTTTGACTGCTTGATGTCCAGGAGTAAAGAAGAAGATTTTTAAAGATTGCATTACTTTTAGTGGTTTTGGCCCCACCCCTCAGGCCACGGGGGCAGAGATCCTGAAATTCACCCATAGATGCTTTGTGCCATATTTGGTTGATATTGGTTCAGTGGTTGCAGAGAAGAAGCTGAAAATGTTCAAATGTTAACGCATGACGGACGACGACGGATGAAAAGGTGACCTACAAAATCTATGATCCCAAAATATTTAGAATTTACTGCATCAAGCGATGGAATTTTTCCTAGACATATAATCAGACTGACAACACTGTGAACTATTCAATTTTATTATTTTTTTTATAAAAAAATATTTGTCTTCCCCAAACATGCCAAAACAAGACCCTTTTCCTATGACATATTTTGCCTAGGAGTTATTCCCCTTAGCCGCCATCTTGTAGGGCAAAGTAGTGAATTTACCTCTTTGAGCAACCAATTTTAAATATGCATGCAAGAAATATATGTGGGAAAATATTTACAATTTTAAAATTATGAATTAATAGCAGCTCTGACAAACGTATATTCATAAGAAAAATGGTGTTATCTTTACCTCATTAACCAGTATAACAAATTTAACATGGTTGAATAATGAAGGGATCTGGATACATTGCCCTACAATATGGCGGCTAAGGGGAATAACTCCTAGACAAAATAGGTCATAGGAAAAGGGTCTATAAATAAATACAATTTTTCTTCTCAATTTGAGCACAGAAAAATTTGGAAAATAAGTTTTAAAAACTAATAGACATACTTGTACACTTGTACATCGCTGTTCATGTAGACCAATGATTATCCTGTCAATGTGACAAAATCAGGTAGGAAAATAAAGCCAAGTATAAAGGTAAATCAAGCTACGTAGCTAAATGTAGTGATTGTACGGTTTGTACCATACCTGCATGTAGGGCAATGATTATCCACAGGCGTCTGAATTTCTATCAATAAGCCGTTATATGTTTGATCAGAGTGATATACAAACCCCCTCTAAATATAAATACACGTGTATTTATATTTAGAGGGGGTTTATATATCACTCTGATCAAACATACAACGGCTTATTGATAGAAATTCAGACGCCTGCATGTGGATTATCATGTCAATGAATGTGACAAAATCACTGTGATTCCATTGGTGTCTCTGTCCTATAATTTGACTAGATATAACCATCTCTTAAAATATTACCATAGCTCTTTGTCAATGTGGACAGAGAATTGTCATTTCCCTAAAATCAGTGAAGCTGAAGTCTGCTTGTGACGGTGACCTCATGTACCTAACTGTTTATTCCGGGTCTGTTTGGTTTCAATAAGTCGTACCATCATTGAGTCGTCCTAAATATAAAACTGTTCTAAGTTACATCACAATTTTATTTAAATTATTAACAATAACCCCAGATAAAAATGGGAATTTTAACAAATATTTCGCCAAGTTGTCCAGGGACGCCCAAGCCTACATTCTCCTTTGGTTCCATTCGAGCACGTAGCTTATGTGTAATGGATACAAATTTATGGAAAAGTTACCTGCTACAAGGACTGAAACACCAAATGTTACAACGTCACGGTTTGAAACGAGCAGTTTGACTTGGATGGCAGTGATATATTTGGATGACAGTGAAATTTTTTTTAACCCAATCATATATCAACCAAGAGTAATTTCCTCTGCATGGAGCTCTAACAAAACAATTTACCGACACATTGACGCTCGAGGAGGAAGACCAAACACTCCAGGATTTAAAAAGTAATTTATTTTTTTGAGGATTAGGCCAAAATAAAAAATACCTTTGTTTCCCCTAACGCGACCGACCCAATTAAATCATGCCGACTGGAAAGATTTTTCAAACAAGCTGATTCAAATATTATTTTTATTGTTAGCCAAGTTTCATAAAATATAATTACATGAAAATCAGTTTTTATCAGAACTGCTGAGATTGTTCTGCTGTGATTTTCAAGCATTTGTTAAAATGGCGCCCTTACAGATGTGATTACAGAGAATTAGGTCTTCATAAAACAATGGTGAGGGGCCCACCTAGTGAACACATCATTCAATTTCACTGAATTTTATTTAATTTGAGGTTTGGCCGAATAATGTGTTCAGCTATGTTCCTATGTTCACTATATGCCATTATGGAACTTTATCTTAGGAGTTGTTGTAAATATGTCTGCATATTTTTCCTGATAAATATAATTTAGATGTCCTTTCTTCATGCCTTTATTTATGGGTTAAACTTCGTGACTATGACATTGAATATAGCATTTATATCAACTGTAGATTGCGTTTGGTTCAATTAATTATTGTTTACATACTCTTTCCAAATAAATAATGATTCAGCTTCCTGAGACGTCCAGTGTATTTTTCTTTAATTAGGCCATTGAAGATTGGTTGTTTCTTTCCTTCGAGATTTGTTGGGACGACATTTGAACATTTTCCCATTGCTCCAGACGTACTCAGCACTTTTTTGCCCTCTAGTATATAGTGGGGATCTTTTTTGAGCCAACATATTCTGCGACACTGGACATAAGTTTTTATAGTCCCTTTTGAGGGACCGTTTTAAACGTTCCTCATCTGAGATTTGAACCTGCGACTTAAAATTAGCCACATACTTCTTAATCCAAAGCAAAATGCTCTAGAACCACTGCAAATCTCATGCCCCTCAAAAAAGCTAATTGATTGTCTATAAGCACTGGAGGCTGATGGAAGGTTTGAACAATATACTCGGATTTCTGATCTTTGCATACTTGAGAATCTTGCCTTTTTTATTCGATATATAGAAATGTACTGTGGCTTCAAATATTTCACAAGTACAATTGAATAACAGTTTATCTAGCTGCAGATCTGTACCGTTATGGTTTTATATATTTGTCTTTGACCATAACGCTACAGATCCCGTTATGCAAAAAAGGTGCAATTTACGGCGCAATATTATTTGTGCACTTTTGGGGAGAATTATCCACTTTTTAGCATCGGTCAATTAATTATCTTTCAATCCCTATTTCAAGGCACATTATTTGACTAATTTGTATAATTTATCCATCTCCCAATCCTTTATAGTCGTCTCTACAAGTGATTAACTCGCTTGATTAAAATTATTTGTTAGATTACTGTGAAAATTCACTTCAAGTGAGTTTATTGCCTGTAGAGACAACTATAAATGGTTGGGAAGTGGATAAAATATACATATTGGCTACAAAATGTGTCTAGAATTAGGAAGTGAAAGGTAGTTGACTGAACAATGCTAGAAAGTGGAGAAATTCTCCCCAAAAGAGCGTAGAAAATATTGCGCCGTAAATTGCACCTTTTTTTGCATTACGGGATCTGTAGCGTTATGGTCAAAGACAAATTAAATAAAAAACATAACGCTACAGATCTGCAGCCACAGTTTATCATGAATTTGCTTTTAAACGGCCTATAGATGATACTTAGCATTTTATTCACAAATTGCTTTCTTTCGTACTTTTAATGGAAATTTACTGGTAAATTTCCATTAAATTTTAGAATGTATTTTCAAAGCTGCTGTCAGAAAAAGAAAATTGTTTACCTACCTACCGACCCAACTTGAGAATTTGGGGTCGGGTTAGGGGAAACAAAGATATTTTTAATTCCGGCCTTAACTAAAATTACGGACATTGAAGATATTACACCTCCGCAGCTACTTAGCGAGGATTTAAATTCCAAATATCCAAAGACCCCAGGAAGAGCAGACCCGACAACTTTGAATACGTTTCCTCCAGGCTTCTCTCAAGACTGGAACCAGGTGATTGACAGTGTTTCTGGGATATTTCCAGACAGTAGCCTTGGACAGTTCTCTAAGTCGCCCCCTAGACGAGGATTAGCCAACAATTCCACTGGTATTTGGAACAGAGGACTCGATCAACGACAAGACGAGGACCAGAGTCGTCAGAATACCGACGAGGCCATCTTTGGTTAGAGATCAGACACTCCCTGGGCAGGACCAACGAACTTCGATGCAGTTCCGATTCGTCGTGGGACGAACGAAGACATTCGTTCTACAATCTTCTGGGCCATCCGAAGGACCAGCAACATTCACTTCAAAGTGCCGAGCGCATGGAACAGTTTTACCCATTTTTATTGACTTGGGTCAGCCTCGGCCGAGATTCAAACTCCCAACCACGAAGCGAACGCTCTACCGACTGAGGGAAGGATATGGAGATAACGAACAGTATTCAATATCAAAGTCCATAAAACAATACAAAATAGGAGCAGAGCAAACACGGACCTCCGAAACATCAGAGGTGGGATCAGGTGCCATGGAGGAGTGAGCATCCCCTGCTGACCGGTCACACCCACCGTGTGCTGATTGTCATGATCGTGAAATAACGGAAAAATTCGTCGTCAATTCAGTGTATAAATAATGGACTAACAATTTGTATGAAAAATGTCAGTCAGCATTTGACTCAATGATAAATTGTATTGAAAAATTTTGCTGACAAGGTCATTGTATCGACCAAAGAACTTACGAAATGATGACTTTAAACGAGACTGCTGATATTCTTGATTCATCAACTTGCTTGTCAATTTATAATTTACCTCGGTTTAGAAATTGTTCATACGTAGAGAATGCTCTTGCGTATCGAATCAACTGAGATATATACACTCTGTATGCAGGTGATGAAGGTATATTGCTGCATAAGTAAGGGAAGTTGACGATAGAAAAGTAAAGTCGTCACGTTTATCATATAATTGGTTGTTAGGTTACCATTAACGTCTTTTTTCAAGTAAAATATCCAAGTATGAAACAGATATGTCAGACTCTGTGGTATCTTTTATCTCAAGCTCTCCTGGATATATCGTATCGACGTAGGAATGGAAATTACGATTGTTAATTGACAATAGGTCGTCGATATATCTGAAGGTCGAGTTGAAGGCCACAGCAAGTGTTTTCTTCTTTTCACGCATAAGATTTTGCATAAATTCTGCTTCATATGAATACAAAAATAGGTCTGCTAATAAAGGAGCGCAATTGGTTCCCATGGGAATTCCAATAGATTGTTGGAAGACCTGGTCTCCAAAGACCTCAGGTACCGTGAACGGTTTCAAAGTTTGAAGTTTTTCGGTGGTAGTGTCCAAAGGATTCCAGTCTTGCCATTTCGTGTAGTTTCTCGCACGATCTTGCAATTTCTTGTAGTTTCCCGCATGATTCAGTCCAACCTCACTTGGAAAATCATCCAATACATGTATATATACAGCCTTAAAGCTTGTCTTACCCCTGTCTATACTTCAAAAGCTTCTGTAAGCTTACCGGTGTGGATGACTTGGCATAAAGCCTAGCTCGTCATACAATTGCTGTATGAGATTGATGAAGGTAGTGGTGTTCCATAATGCTAGAGTAGGTTCCAGATGACTCACCGTTCAATTATTATACAGAGATTGACGATCTCATCTGGACAGAACTTGTCCTTTCTAAAATCCGCCTGTTCTAGACAAAGTCTTAAGACTTTCCAGTATTATTCTTGTCAGAATTTTGTTTTTAAAGAGTAAAGACAGAGAGAAGCATGATGCTATGCCTGTTCTTGCATTGTCTCAGTCTCCTTGCAGACGCGCTTCGAGTATCATTAAAATAATGATCAAGTCAGCCAGTACCTTCCCCTCTGATCAGATCTTCTGCAAGAGAGGTAGTATTATATCTGTTGAAATCTTTATATCTTTAGTTTGGGTATTTTATCAGGCCTAGCTGTCTTCCAACTTTAGCCCTTGTGTGAGGTGCGGTGATTCCTGCTAGATAAAAGTCTGCTGGTGGTATGTTTGGTGATTCAAATGTTGGGCAATTTTGGAGTTCTCTGAATTGTTCTGCCCAGTGCTTTTCTGGTCTTCCTCCATTGTAATTGAGATGTCTGCCTGTTCTTTTACTGGCTAGGTGGTGTGGTGTTATATTCCCAGGGTTCTTGTGTTTTTGTACATGATTATGTATATCTATCTTCTCTGCTGCTTCCTCAGCTTCTCTGGGTGTATTATAGAAGTGTCTTTTAATTATTTCTCCTTGCATTTTTCTTTACTTTATTGATTAGAATAGTGTATCTCGCTCTCCCTCATAGCTGATATGCTGCTGTCTTAGAAGTTTTCTCTTTTTTCCTACCAGATTCCTTGTGTCACAAGAAAGCTATAAATCTTGTCTTGCTTATCTCTTTTCCCTAGGATCTCTTCACATCTGTCTTTCCAGTTGTCTTTGATGAAGTTCCGGTGTTCTTCTATGGGTATCTCTTGATTCTTGATATTCTTCTGAGGGTATCTCGACATTGTAAACT